ATAGTAATTAGTAAAATTTCAAGTTATGTAATAGATACATAGACATTTAAACTGATATGGATATTTAGCTTTAATACATACGCATACTGTAAATATATACATGTATATATATATAGACTATTATGTGTGTGAGGGGGGGGGGGGAAGGTAGGGGGGTAGGGAGAGAAAGGGAGAAAAGTTACAGGATCTCATTAAGCGAATACACTATAGCATACTTTTTATATGCTAATTGTTACACGCAGTACAAGACGGTAAATATATTTTCTATGGTCTTTACACAATATATCCTTTACTTTAAATCCAGGAACTAATTTTTATATTAAATATAGCATAGTATTTATTCCAATACTCTTGTTTCTTTTATCTTAAATTCTTTATTCCTGCTAAATTTTCTTCTTTCAAGTTAACACTTTCAAGACGTCGTCACAGCTAAATTTCTCATTTAAAGATAACTCCAAATAACTATAAGGAATAAAGGAACATAGTAAAAGGGAGTCTTTTTCCCTTAACCTTCTTTAGATTATAATACTAATTGAAGATTTTTTTGGAAAGCTTCTATAATATTTTACGATAGAAAAAACTAGTTGGATCGAAGTAATTTTTATTGATTCGAAACTACAAAGCTGGGGCAAGTAAAAAGCTGATAACTTCAAATTAAACGTTAATGTATCAATCAAAATCTCAAATTACCAAAGCCTAGATGCAAAGAACGACTAATTAACTATAAAAGTTTCGTTACAATAAAATAAACCAGCTTATGAATAGTGTAAATCGCTAATTAAAATTAGGATATATATAATTTACGAATCGACAAGATGCAATTAAGTTGAGAAAAAAACAATATTTTAATAATTTACGGCCTCTTTTGTGTGGAATAGAGTGGAAAAACTCTATCTAATACATATCCTATAATCCAGAACATTTGCACAGAATATAAAATAATCAATAAATAGTAAATAAAAGGGCGAGAGTTGAGTGACTTGTACTTACAGTTAGGAATTCAAAAGTAAATATAGTGTAATTTGCAGTTGATATATTTTTATGTCACTTGTAGTGAGAAATGATATTCAACATAAATATATTATAAGGAGAATGGTGTGCATATATACTAAAAGTGTATACATCTATACATAGTTTCTATCAAATATATATAACTATACAGTATATATGCTCTTTATTTTTATACAATACTAAATTCTATTATTGTATATATCCATTCAATAGAAAAATTGTCAACAGTTTCTAGACAGCGCAATTTATAAAACATATGTATATAGAATGGGAACGAATTATTTAATGATACTTTAAATATTTCCGTCCGTCAGGTTAATATATCAGTTTTTTCGCCTCTTTAACACACAACTCTTTAACGAAACTTTATAAATGGAATAACTAAGGGATAAGCTACAAAAACTCCTCTCATAAACTAGTTCAACCGAAACACACCATTATTTTGCTTGGGAAAAACTGAATGGGAGAGTAGCTTCTACAATGATTTACAACAGTCTGACAGTTTTTTGATGAGCCGAGCAAAGGATTGATAGACTGCATCGTTGCAGTCGCCTGAAAAAAATCAGTTTTAAATCGACGCTTGATCGATCAATCAATAGACAGCTGCTTCGGGATACTACGCAAAATACAATTTCTGTATAATAAATGTCGAACGTTATAAGACATGAAAAAAGAATAAATGCTGAATTACTTAGGTCTAATCTTCTTAATAAAGAAAGAGGAAACTTTTACTAAAATCTTCTATGAATATAATACAGAAGCTGTAAAAAGAGACATAGAGTAAAGAGGGAGAAAAAAACAAAATCTACAAATTAAACGCACACAAGGCATTCGTACTGGCTTAAATGCGTTAAGGACTGTCGTTAGAGCAGAGAAATGTTTCAGATTTTAGGTACATTTCGGTTTCTTCGTTATTTGTCAGCCTTCTGTTCTTTTCATTTAAAAACTGTTAACAACATTCAATCGTAAATTGTCCAATAAATCAAACCGGATGAATTGCTTATTACATTTCTTCTTTCTCTTTAGAAATCAAATAAATAAAAAAAACAACTAATATAGTTTAAACAAACAAAATATAACAAGAGATTAATTGTTTTGATAAACATTTAATAAAATATAAATAAATATTCTCTCTTTATATTTCTTCCATACGTAATTTTCATTCTCCTCTTTTTAGTTTGTTCTACTTTTCAACTACTTTTCTCTGCTTATCTTTCCTCTTCCCTATTGCTCTTCCTCTTTATTCAATTAACAATTATCAATAATATTATTGCAACTATCAGCGATAATTATTGCTTTCTCACTGTTGTCAATCTTATCTTTACACGTAAGCTAGGAGAAGAGACGCTATAGAGTTATGGGGCTACTTAATAGCCAACTCTTGCAGTTGACATTTAAGAATGAAAAACGATTGTTCTAGGCCTATTGAAATTGTGTTGAGTAAAAAATAAGCTCGAACATCTGTCGCCTTCGCTTTCCACTCCCACTCACCACCAAGCTATAGTTTCCGGTCTAACGGTTTTAATCAGGAATATTAATTGGGATAGGCCTATTTTATATGCAGCATTTGCAGAAATTTACATTGTATTATGTATATAGACAATGGGGAAACGTCTGCTTTTTATAGGCTGAATGAATACCATGTTTTATACGGAGTGAATAAATATGTTTTTAATAGAAAAAGACATATTGATTTATAAAATTATTTTATATATATATTTTGACAAGAAATATCAAGACATAAAAGATAGAGGAAAAACATGCTGAAGCCTTGTAATATTCCAATATAATACTTTTTAAGATTAAAAAGAGATCTGATAGAATATATATGTATATATATATATATATTTACTAACTATAGAGATAGTACATATTATATACGCTGTATATATAAATAAGGTATTTTGTTAGGCTACATATAAAAGCATCCATACAAAGTGTATTTATATTTTAAGGTATGCAAATATTTTGAATATTAATTTGCTTACATAACTCTCTTTCATATTCTATAAACATTATTTTCCACTATAGATATATTCTACTTGATTATAAGACTGTTATATACGCATGTATGCTTTAATAAAACTACATTAGATCGCTAATTAGTTTTATAATCCAAAGAGAATTGATTGGGGGAAAGAGTCATAAAAGTGTAATTACTTTTTATCGGACGAGCAAGACAGAATCGGCCTTTCTTTCATATTCTTTAGTATTCTTCTATACATAATTTCTAGGTGAGAATAATAATTTATACGCATAACTAACGTTTTAACCCTATTACTTGCAATAGGGAAATTCTGCCAAACGCAATAATTAGTTTTTGGTACAATTATTTTTTTTTGGTACGTTACTAGTGCAAAATTCCCAATAATTTGTTTGTAGGGCACAATTCTGGTGAATAATTTAGAGGGATAAAGAGAATTTACTCTACAATCATAGGTAGTATAAGAATACTAGGACAATACTTCATAAGTAGCATAGAGAATAAATTTACTTAAGTATATCTTTATATTAATTGAAAGAGCTTATTTACACTGCAATAGTGCATGTTAAACGAATTATTTGTCCTCTGGGTACCATAATTGTGTTCCAAACATCACATTCTACTTTTAACTGAATAGTTTAATAATAACTTTCGTTATTTTTAACTAAAATTTAAAAATAAAAAGAGATAAAAAATAAAAAACAACAAGAATAACATCGAACAGGCCGAATTAAGCGAGAGAACAAAATCAAAAGTATAAAAAAAAAACAGCTAAAAAAAAATAAAAAAAAAAAAGAGAGAGAGAGAGCGATAGCGCAAGTAACATGTGTAACTTTAAACATGTTCATGCATTATCTCTTCCGGGTATGTACAGTTGCGCCTTAACACGTTGAATGGCCAGTTGAACAATGAAATCAAACTGTTTACAGTTCTCTACGCAATATTGAATTTCAGTAGATACTTAGCAATTCTTTTCATAAAAAACAAACAATACAATTCGATTTAGGCCTAATTGAATTTTTCACACCATACTCTCTCCGTAACGCAGAAAAAAAAACCACCTATAGTATTCATTCTTATTAAATTAAAACTCAATGAAATTCAATTCATTAAAATTGGCTTTTCCATGTGTTGACCGAGATTTAGCCAATAAGATTTTATAGGAGAAAAAGTAATATCTGGGCAAAATAATATTTAGACATACAAATCCATACATCCTTCTATATGTTGGCTGCGTATAACATACGTATATATATGTATATATGTATATATATATATACTGTATATATGCACTATATACATACATGTATTTTTTTTTCTAAAAGATTCCTTAATCTCTAACAGTTTTCTAGGCCCATTTGAGATTTTCGTCTCTACAGCTGGCCTCATTGTTAGTCTAAGTAACAAGTAGCACAAGTAACTGTTTCCCACTTCAACATTTCTCCCTCTCAGACGTTAGCACTTTATTTACAAATCGTACTCGCTCAAAAGGTCGTAATAATCGTCTTATAGATAAATATTTTCTATTCTAACTAGATTTTTATTAATGTCTAATCAACTATGATTAATAAAGCATTGGGAGAGAAGAGAGAGAGAGAGAGAGAGAAATAAGAACAACAGATATTTGTACTTTTTTAAGGAAGGTATAAAAAAAAAGTTTCCTCCTACTAGATCAACTTTCTAGTTGTTTCTCTATTTTTGGTTCTTTCTTCGCAAACTAACGTATTAATTTCTATACGTATAGATTTATGTAAGAAAGAGTGTGAGAGTATATATCTATATATATAAACATACATGAACCTAATAAATAAGATTTTCAACTTTAGAGTCTTTCTATCCGCTCAAATTATTATAGACAGAGATCTGAAATAGCATCCCATTAACTACTGGCAATCTGATTGGACCCCCCTTGAACCCATCGGTAAAAGAGACGCCATATTGCGCATTGTAGCGCATGCGCCACCATATGCCTTCTAGACCATCTGCCACAATACACACAGAACACTTAACGCAAAATATACAAACCTTTCGCCGAATGATCCGTCTTGATTATATCAAGCAGATTACTCTCCAAACTAGTCGCGAATTTCATTTGTTCTCCACCAGCAGCCTGATCCTATAAAAAAGGAACAGTCATATGATTATACATCCATTACGAAATCCGATTACTTTTATACATGACTACGCATATTTACCTGCAAAGGTAGCAGATTGTCCTCTCTCTTAAACCTTTGCGGCTGTGTTACAGGCACCTTCCTAAAGGGCATATTCTGTTTCCTGCCGCTTACACCATTACTCCAGGAGGGATAACCTTGCTTATAGGGTCTTGGGGTTACCATCCGCCTCCCCATCGGTACGAATGGCTGAAACATTCCAGTTCCATTTACGGGAGGTGGGGCAAATGTATGGGTGGCAGGTGGGGGTGGATATCTCGTAACGTCTTCTGTTGCAGAACTCCAAAAACTTGTAGGGGTTAAAGCTATGTTCTGCAAAGACGTTGCGACAGCGTTGACCTCTTCATCCTTCACTTCTGGTATGTCATGACTCGAAAATAGGTTTTCTTGATTGTTTAAGGTTGTTTTATTCAATACGGATAATCCTAGATCCGACATATTTTCTCGCCTTACTGCTTTTGCAGTCGGAAAACGGAATACGGCATGCGCTGTGCAGTCGTCGTATGGTCTCCAAAGCTGAAACGAATATTACGTAAAATATTTATGAATGGAACTCGGAACCAAGCGACATAACGTTCAGCAGTCTCTAGGCTTTGCTTGCTTCCGGTCGTCGTGGCCGGAAAATCAATGAATTACTAGATTCTTTTACAAATTACTACTAATTTTTTCAAAATAAAAATTTTCGAATAAATTTTAACTTTGTATGAATTTTATAAGAAGAGTTCTTTGATAAATTTACTGGAGACTATTGACTTTGCGGTACGCCATCTGCATTTTTAGACTAGTATATCAAAGATACTATTAGAATGCAGATGTCGTTCTCCTCCGCCTAATTAAATACGTAGAAAGAAAAACACGTGGTTTTAATTAAATGCAAATGAGCACACAAAAAATTTCACCTCTACCTAAAACTTTATAGGCTGTAGAATTAAGCTGAAAAGCGATAGGTCGACTCTAAGGATACTATATTATATACATACATTATCGATTTATCGCAGTCGAGATGCGAGAGCATTGCAGTCGGTACTAGCTTGTTGCAGACGGAATTTTTTGTCCAAAATAGGTTGTACAATGGGTAATCAAGCGGCCAGGAGTGCGTCCTTTGACGCCTCCGGCGAAGGTACATCTATTAATATTTAATAACATTACATTTTTGCAGTAATTTGTATTGTTTTCAGTAAATTTCGATCACTTTCAAATTCTCAGGGCAATTGGAAAAGGAAGTTTTGGCAAGGTATGCACTTTTCATATTATAGAAAATTTTCTTTTCATATATTTGTAAAATGGAAAAAAGTTGCTTTAATAATTAGAAAGAATCCATCATTTTAAGCTAATTTCCCTTCATAATAAAAGTCTACGAATGATTTTATACACATGCGTGCGTGTATATGTGTGTAATCTTCCTATATATATATATATGGTATATACTGCATATAGTAGGCTATTCCCTTTTGAATACTATAGAAAATATAACTACTTTCGCTGTCTTCCGACTTTTATCTATCTCTGTTTTGTAATAATAACTGCATTAGTAACAAATATAATAGTCCCGTTTTAGTTTTTTTCTCTTTTTTCCAACTAATAATACCGCTCTCTAATCCAATATTGCAGTTAACGATGATTCATTTATTTATATAAAAAAACGATAGTTTATGCAGCATTATACACCGATTCTGTAAACGTTCAGTTGTATTCTGTTTCATGTTCGTAAACAGTAGAGAGTACTGCATTTATATCATTGATACAGTTCATCTATATAGGCTTCATATGTGCATACAAATGCACATATGTATCTAGCTTATAACATATTTACATGGTCTTCTTTCATCATCTATATTTTTATTACATAGACTGTACAAAAAATTTATTTGCAGAAATCGTCCATATGAAATATAGAAAATATACAATAGAGCACTCTATCTTCTATCTATGTTTTATACTTATTAATTTTATATCCTGCTTGCAGAGTTTACCCATAGTCGATCCAATTAATCAATTCACCTCTTTCTCTCCGAGATAGCTGTGTAAACGTTTTGGTTTTACGCTCGTTTAGATTAATATTAACCTATCTTAGATAGAAAAGGGCGTGTGAAAAGGATGGTATAAAGAAGGAGAGAAATGCAAAAGACACACAGCAGAGCTCTACGCCTCTTACTTTCAAAACCCTGTATCCGCTAATTTATACTAGTATGAGAAAATAATGAAATTAGTTTTATTACTTAGACAAAGTAGAAGTCTACAGTAATGTCAGGTAGCAGGAACGTTTCAATGACAAACAGCTCGTATAAGAAACTGTTTTTAAATCTGTGCTTCAGTAGTAAAGTAATTTAGAATTGAGCGAATAATTCACCTGCTCTGTTTATTTGTTGTCATTTTCTCTGTCTGTCTGTCTCTCTCTCACTTATTCTATAATGAAAGGTGAAAGAAATTGAAAAATAAACAATAACAACAACAACAACAACAACACCAGCAGCATCAGTACTAAAAACACAAACAACTTAAGACTTAAGGGCTTCCGATTAGACATGTTAGAAATAGCAACAGACTTTATTCCCTATAGTTTTTATTGTGGCTTAAGTTATTAAAGATGGTAAATAAAGATTATATTCCTATCTCAGATAGAAGAATATAAATGAATGTTGACTGTATTCTTACTTCTTCGTTTCTTTTCATACTGTACTGTGTATTTTAATATTTTCTGTATGAAGATTCTATCAAGAAGCTTTTGGAAACTGTAAAGAAAAGTAACATATTGTATTGTACTTATTAAATCTAGTATGTTTTATAGTACTTTAGGTAGTTTCCGGGTTGTTAGAAAACGTCCTCAGGCTGATATTAATCATATGGATAATGAAAATAGATGTCGTCTTAGCTTACGTCTAATTAGCTAGTTTAAGTAGGAAGAAATATTTCTAGAAATCACTCTTTCACAAGTCTGACGGTTATTGTAAAAAGTTCAGGTAAAACTTTACTTAGTTACACTTTGATCATAACTATAAAGGCTCAGTATTTTTTCAATGGATCCCATTGAATTGTTAAAGGAATACATTCAATCAACTGTGTTTGTCTTTCTTTTTCGAAAGCTTTGAGCTTAATATTTTGCTCTAGAATGTTCATTTTATTAAATAACTTGTAGGGATATTTTTAAAAGTAAAAACCAAGACAATCTACATTTTCTTCCAATACTCTATACTGTGATAATATATATAAAAGGATAAACGATATGCACCCTTATGTGTTTATATCCCTGCTACTTGTCCTGCTTTGTGATTAGCTCTTTTGAGGAAGCTTTTGAAATTGACGCCCAGAAATTGAATACTTACAATAGCCGTCGTTAAAAAGGAAATTTAGAAAATCCTTTCAGTCGTACTGTTGTTCTTATCCTAAACAATATACCTGATTTAAGTGAAAGAACCTCTTCTCTTTCTTTACCTTAAGCAGAAGTAAAGAAAAAAATTTGGTTTGTTAATTCCGCTACAACAGCATATTGACAAGTTAATTATGAATATTTCCTACAACATTTCCGTCCAATAAAGTCTGTCAATCTTACAATTAGAAAACACTCTGTTTTTTCTCTCTCTGGAGTAGCGTTACATTTTAGACGCTTTTAATATAAATAAAGACGACTAAAAGTTTTAAAAACAACGATTGAATAGAATAAATTGGCTCATTCATTTCGTTTAGGCTTTACTTTAGAATCTATTTGCTATTTAATAGTAAACTATTAAAAACTATATTTAATATCCTTTTTACTTTATACGATTCTTTCTGTTATTGAAATTAATAAAACTCATTTAATTATTCAATACAATTACTTTATTTATATAAAGAATAAGAAGAACGAGAATCATGTTCATTTAGCCTTGTCTTTCGAAACGTGTTTCTTTGAGAAAAAGCATTATTCTATAAAATAAATTGCCCCTTTAATGTCTATATATATCCATAAACATACATAAAATAAAAATTAGGATAAATTCGAAAAAATTAACCTTTTATTTTGTATTAATTTTATAAAAAATCAACTTAATTACCAGAGCTTTGCTTCTTTTTGATATTTCTTTTTAAAAGCGAAGGGATATTGAACTTAAGCGTTTTAATTAGTAGATATTCTTTATTCTTTCTCTTCTTTTATTTGTTCTTTCACTGTGAGAATTGATTAGAAATACATCGATATGAAAAGAGAAGAAGACACACAGACCAGATCGAGAGAAAGAGAAAAAGTGGGGAGAGGGGAGTCTGTATATGTGTGTGTCTGTGTGTGAGTGAGTGAGTGAGTGAGTGAGTGAGTGAGTGAGTGAGCGACCGAGACAAAACTAAAGAAAGAAAGAAAAACATAGAGAGTCAAAAGACAGATAGCTAGAGAACAAGAGGGAAATAAAGAAAATTACTTCGTGTCTTCTTGTTCATATAATTCTTTGTTTAGACTGATTTTGTCATTATCTTTATTAGAAAGCCCAATATTTCTTTACATAAAACTACTCTTCTTATGGCATCTTTATGCCCATATTTTCATTGAAATTCAACTAAACTTAGATATATAATGCAACAATAGGATTTTTTTAATAGTAATTAAGCAATCAATTGCTTTAGTAATTGTTTGACCAGCTTTTACAGATTCATATAAACTAGTTTAAAACAGTTACAGCTGTTGAAATTTAAAAAATCTTCATTTATCAACAGTTGAAATATGCTGAACCTTAAAAAGTTAATTATAAATATGAATATATTTTAATTGACACTGACCATACGTTGCGAATGACGTTGTAATTTTGGTATTTCCTTATTAATTTATAATGATATTTAATTGTTTTATAATAGTTTTTCCTTTTTTTGACAAATCAACCGTTAAATATATAATCTTTCTGTAAGCCTCCTGGCTCTACTTTTCTTTCAAAACCTATTTAATTGCAATGCTATTCAAAACTAATCCTGTTGAAAAGCGACTCGAATTTATAACCTAAATATTTAAAGAGTCTTCTAAGTGCTATTAGTGTCTGCTAAGAGTTCGTGTTGCGAAATCTCAGAAAACGCATCGTTTATCCTGCAGGCAGTTTAGAGTTATATAATGACCTAACAATCTGCGTTGTTTCTGTTGTATTTTTTTACTGCTTACCACGTTATCGTAAAAGGAATCGCCTGTTTTTAACGTTACAACTTATCAACTTTGAAGTTTTATTAGAAATTTCTAACTAGACAAAGAAGGTCAACCTTTACGAATGAGAGAGTAGCAGTCAAAATATCTTTATAGTTAAAGCATTAACGCTTAATTTTTTGCACTTCACTTCTAAAGATTCCGTAGGAATCTTGTCGAGAATGCAAAATTTAATGACTTTCGAAATATGTAGAGTTTAAGGGATTCTCCTTCTTCTTCTTCTTAAAATAGTAGAAATTTTTTTTATTTTTTACACAGCGAGAGTCTAATAAATTGGACCACAGCCTTCTCCCAATAGTCCTATATAAAATAAAAAACATATACAAAAAATGTATTGTTATCTGCCTTAATCGCGTTATAAATCTAAGTTTAAATACGTTTAAGTATTCTTGAAACGAAACAAAAAATAGAAATTTTCAGGTTTCGATTTTTTAACGAAGAAAGCTTATCAATAATAATTAACAAGTCTTTCATAACAATACTAAGAAAATACTAATATTCTTTATTCTTCTCAATCTTTTTCAGGTATGCATCGTTCAAAAGAAAGATACAAACAAAATGTATGCTATGAAGTACATGAACAAAGCAATGTGCGCCGAAAAGGAGGCTATTAAAAATGTCTTGGCAGAGGTAGAGCTATTGCAATCACTTGAGCATCCCTTTTTAGTGAATCTATGGTTTACTTTCGACGACGAGGAAGACCTGTTCATGGTGGTCGATTTGCTTTTAGGTTGGTATAAATGTAAACATAAATGCAATATGAAGGATGCATTATTGATAAACCTTAGAGTACAGAAGTACATTCTACTTTCAAATAATAGGCTATATGATGCATAAATTTACAGACAAATTAGACTATGTATCGAATTTATTTCATTTTGAGAAAAAAAGAATTACGTATAGGCCAATAGATATCCCATAAAAGTGCAATTATACATACAGTATATCTCTATATACAGTATATATTTACAGTTAAAATCGCTTTTAAGTTATATTTATATCATTTATTTAAATAAAAAGGTAACAACTTTTTCATGAGTAGCTAAAGGCGATCATTATCTTATAGATAAGACTGATTATCAAAGGTCGGTAGAGGTTATATACAACAAAAATATAAGAATATAAGCTCTAAAGAGAGAACCCTAAAACAAATGACTCAAAGTATATTGCTATTTATATCCTATAAGCTATTTTTTTGTTTTTAGCTAAGAGCTATTGATAAACGATTTTCGTGTTAAAAAAACACAAGTATACAATCTTTTTTATGGAAATTTATAAGCTCAGTGTTACTATTAAGTACTACTGTACTATAAAATTCATCAAGGCCAACTGCAAAAATGACATAGTAAATTTTATTTGAAGATTAAAAATTTCGTGCAGTCAATTTCGCTTGTTTCCATGCAACGAAAAAAAAGAACATTACAGACTTTTTTCTTTTAATCCATCTTATATTATTTTTTTTGTTTTTCGTTTTTTTCTTAGATTCAACAATTCTCTAATTTTCCTTTCTACGAAAATATTAGTTTCTTTCTTCGAATTTTTAGTTTTTTCTTTCATATTAATAGGTGGATAGAGGAAGAGTAAGTGAGAAGTTTTTATCTACTTATAGACTTTCACTATATATATATATACTGTATATATATTTATATATTTATATACGTAGGCATATATTATAATTGTAACAACTCCCAACATCTACTGTTTAATTTTTCCTATTCAACTCAATTCTCCACTTTTCCCCCTCAGTTTTTGTATGATGGAGAGTGGGAAAACGTAAAATATCTCCTCAAATTTAAGCCATATGAAAAGCTAATTGAAAACGCTCTGTGGAGTCTTGACTAAAGAGAACCACAGATATATATATACATATCGGTAGGGTGCGTTATTCTATACTAAGTTTTTGCTAGAATATCTCTGTTGTAAGATGAATTTTCTAAAGAAAACGAATTATATGTAATATAATACCTCTTCCATAAAATACAATTTTTGGTCTTGTAATACGGCATCCTGATTGAAGAAGATGATTTTAACTATAGAATTATAAGTTGAATTGCTTCCGTTAATGTAGTAAAACAGGATATGCCTGTAGGTTTACTAAAATTCAAATAGAGAACGCTTTTTAAAAAAAGTTTCTGGTGAGAAATTTTGAAAAGATTCCATAAGATAACTGAGAACAGCCGCAGTACAAGATAAAATGACTAGATTTAAAGATGATGTAAGGTAAAGCATGCTATTAAACATAACATTAAAGAATATTATTAAAGGAGCAAGGAAGGAGAAGTCTCCTACAGAAGCGACTTGTTTGGATTCGTCAAGTATTGCAGATGAGATAAAATTTCCTTCTGGGTTAAGTTAAAGAGATTGGCCAGTGAAACTTTTGCCAAAATTCTGGCTGTTCGATATTTATTTCATTTGCGATTTCTTTCATGGCAGTACAACACTTGAAAAACAAAATGATAAAGGTGTGCGGAAAGTGCACAAATTACTCAAGGACAAATTTAGCAGAGGCAAGAAATAGGGCTATTATGTGAACGCCACCTTAATTCCCTCAAGAGAAGAGCAGTCTGTTTTGCGAATAGATTGAAGATTTTCTATAAAAATATCAGCATATCAGTTCTACAGTTTATAAGGTGAACGAGCAGTTTTATTACAGAAATTGAAGACTTTATTAAAGGCAAACAAAGGCCACTCTTTAAAAACAGGCGACTAGAAATAGAAATAAGAACAGAGAATATCCTGGTAAACTATGGTTCAGTTAATATTTTTGACACTAAGATTCCCAGCAAATGACATTGGCTTAGATTAAGAGTAAATCTATGTTCTAGCAAATACTAGACTAAAACGTATCCTACCCGTGTCCTCATATATATAAACATATATATATATATATATATATATATATATATATATATATACATGTATATATACTGTTGATACATGAGAGAGATACAAAGTAAAATATCCATCGACAAAACTCAAATTGGAATGATTCGTTGTATGACACGACAATATGGAAGCTCAAAACCGAGTTGAAGCGACATAGTATAGTAGGCCTAGAACCAAGATTTAATATATCTGGTTGGCTACAAACGTAAAATTAAATTAAAAAAAATCAAGTAAACTAATTAAAGAATAAAAATACAACTTTTCTAATAACTTTAGTTGTCTAATTGAAATTTGGCAGGCGTAACTCTTCGTATTATTTTGCCGTATTATCTAGTTGAATAATTGATTAGACGACTTAAAGTTAATAGCAGACTGTCCAATTTCATACAAAATTCGTTCTACATTATTCTTTATTTATAATGAGGAAGTATAAAGAGAAATGGAGAGAGACTATATGAAAGAAAGATGGAAGGAGTAAGAGAACCAAAAAATTTTCTTATTCTTGTTATTGTCAACTCGACGATAAATTTCGTCCAAAAACGAAAATAATTGATACTTCTGTGACAAATGCCAATTACTAACATCGCGTTAATTTGCCAAGCGCCACTCTAACAGTCGTTCTGATCGTTTAGCAGTGGTTTACAGCCAGCTATTCGTCTTTGACTGGGGAAAAAATTTGTTATATCCATACCTTCCCTATTCCTATTCTTATTCCATACAAATTTCCCAATTGATTAAGAATAAAGACAAGAAAAGCGCGGTTTCCTTCACTTTTCATCGTACTCTTTCTCTTTGCAATTTTTTCATTCTCTTATGTATAATTTATATAGAAAGAAAGAATAATATAAGAAGAGGTTAATGACTACAGTAGTAAAAAAAATTTCGTCTTAGTTGCGTTGTTTGATTTATCATTAACCTCGACAGATAAGACGAATTAAAATTTGTAACGGGATTTGTAAATTGTTGCTCTTTACAGGCTGTGCCAGCCTTGCTTAAAGGCAATGCTATCCTTGATATCTTTCCTGTACGATTTTCGGCTTTATTCCCTCCATCAGCATTTGATTTACAGTCTCAAAAGATTTTTTTTAGCTTTTATATGACTATATCTATCTATTCATATTATATATATATATATATATATATATATATATATGGCTGTTTTATGAGGATTGTATAAAAATAGATATAACTAGATATTTCATAGGTTTCTTACTTTGTCTAGACCGTTTTAAATATACACTGGCTGTTATCGAATAACTTTCCCCCTTATCTAAAAGGCTGCATTTCCCAGTTTCTTATCAAAAATATCGTTTATCCGAATTTGAAAGAATTGAAACAATTGCCAAAGTATTAAAAGTTTTAAAAGCCTTTTGATACTTCCTCTTTATTTTCCTTCATACAGAAGTTTTTTCTCTTTCGATATATTCCAGAGTTTTCATCTCTCTCTCTCTCTCTCTCTCTCTCTCTCTCTCTCTCTCTCTCTCTCACACACACACACATACACACACACACAGACACACTCTTTTTGCATTTAAATTATAAAAGGCAACAACAAATAATGGGAAGAAAAAAAAACCTTACAAAAATATTTCAGGCTGATGCAAAACGTCTTTTGATGTCTGTATGTAAATGTCCTCATCTTGAGACCAAGATCTGTTTTTTTCCTCTTTTAATCTTATATGCGAGGACTAGCTCTTGTATCCAATAACCAAACTATCATGAGAGAATTTTTTTTTTTGTACTTCCGATAAAAGAGATATCTTGTAAATTTATTTTTCAGATATTTTTATAACCATAGTAACGCAAACAAGTAGTTAAGGTTAAATACATATGCTGTTATACAGTATATATAAAGTATATATAGGCGTAATATTTCATTAGACTTTCCTATATCTCATTAAGAAAAGGGTAACAGGTGCATCTTCGTCTTATGGTCAGAGAATTTTCTAGCTTCCTGCTTATTGATACAATTCTATACAACGAAAAATGTTTGTAGTTTTTAATGTTTTGCTTGTATTTAAAAAATATCACTTCAAAAATATAAATGAGAATAAGTACAATTATGTAATAGCCTTTTTAGATTAGTACAAAGTAGTCTTCTTTTCATTTAGTCTAACCTTGCTTTCTTAATGACAAATGCCAAAGTACTGACTCAAAGTGTTCATTATAAAATAAGATGAGTATATTTGACTATACATGTTCAATATAATTCTTATTGTAAATACTGAATAGTTGACATAATCAAATTTGACAACACACGAAAAGAAAGTCTTGTATTTAATTTGCCATAGTAGAATGATTCTATTATATTTTTACTATTACCCTTATTACTAGTATTATTATTATTATTATTAATATTTTTATTATCACTACTAGCAGTAGTAGTATTGCTTAGCTATTGTTTATATTCTGCATACAGCAAATATATAATGTTTGTTAACTGTAAGTAAACTTCTTTATTAACTCATTTTTCTTTCGTTTTGTCTATTAGGCGGAGATTTGCGGTATCATCTTCAAAAGGAAGTTAAATTTACCATTCAATCGGTCAGATTGTTCTTAGCCGAAATTTGTCTGGCCTTAGACTATCTTCGGTCCAAAAAGGTTTTACATAGAGATCTTAAACCCGATAATATTTTAATGGATGAAGATGGACATTATCATATAACGGATTTCAACGTTGCAACTAGCATAGAAGAGGGCCACTCTCCAACTTCGGTTTGTGGAACAAGACCTTATATGGCTCCAGAAGTTTTCGAAGCAAAAAAGGGTCAAGGTTACTCCTATTCCGCTGATTGGTGGTCGCTTGGAATTTGTACTTTTGAAATTTTGAAAAATCGACGTCCCTATGATATTCACTCTAACACGACGGTTAGTGAATTTAGGCGCATTATAACTGATTCTCATAAGTCCATGTGCCATGCAATATCCTCTTACCCGGAATCCTTAAATGACTTAGTTAAACGATTACTAGAAACTGACCCGGAGAAAAGGTTATCTTCTCTTAAGGATATACAACAACATGAATTTTTTACCGGTATGAACTTTGACGATGTTCTGAATAGGAAAGTTCAACCGCCGTTTATTCCGTCGAAAGATCATCTGAACTGCGATCCAACTTTTGAATTGGAAGAGATGATTGTTGAGTCGAAACCGTTGCATAAAAAAAAGAAAAGATTGGCAAAGCAAAACTCAAAACCTATCTCTGATCCAATTAGGGACTATTTGGAGAGTAATGGTAAAGTTTTCGAACCATACGACAGAGAAAGGTAATACACTTACGATATACTAATTAATATCCGTCAGTTTTTACTCAACAATCAGATTAAGGTATTATATATCCAAACGTAATTAAGTAGATGAATTAATGGAAGAATAGATAGGGTGGGGCGAGAGAGAGAGAGAGAGAGAGAGAGAGAGAGAGAGAGAGAGAGAGAGAGAGAGAGAAGAGAGGAAATATTAAATATGAACGAACTTGGAAAAGTTCAAATATAAATGTTAATAGTTAATTAAAGTAATACTATACATTTATAAATAAGAGAAAAGCTAGTAAGGAGAAAAGATTATGTCATTAATTCACTTTTACTAGAGATTGCAGATGGAGATTGTGTAATTTTTATCACTAGTTGTAATCTATATATCTAGGTTATATCCCATATCATTATATGGCTGTGAACCTATAGTCCACAGCAGGCAAAACATAATATAAACTATAGATTAATATTATAATATCTGCTGCATATAGCCTCTTTGGAGAGCAGAGATTTTTAATTTGTACAACATATCAATACAACACTATGAGGATTATATAAAAACAGTATATCTGGAATTCAAAGGAAATATTTTGTTAATTACCTAATTACTCATTAGTAATGTACGATGAGTTCGGTAGGAGGGTTAAGGAAGAGAAAACCATAAACTATTACGGAATGAAGCACTTACAATATTAACTTCCGTTATCTGGCTAATTGAAAGCGTAAAAGCGTGCGCCTTCTAAAAAAAATAAAAAATTCCACATTTGTTTAAAAGAAATATTTAAGTATATTAAAACTAGTGAAACAAGACAAACTATTAGTAGGCAAGCATTTAAGTCTAATGACGTAAGTTGATTTTAAGGCCTATATTTCTGGTAAATACTCTCTAATGGCTTGTCACCAAGCAACAAGAACTAAACGCTTGTTTATTTTCGATTATAAAAAAACAGGAAAAAGGATACGAAAGAGGAATAAGGTGCAAACGAGAATCTTGACAGGCGATAGCAGTGCACTGCATAAACAATTAGGAAGACTTTGCACATCAGCTAACAACAACTTTCGTATACGTACACCTCGACTGTAAAATATATCGATTTCTATTTTGTTCTTTGAAGCGTCGGATGCACGTGTATAATTATTTATCTTTCGGATTCAGGTGTAATTATGTACGAAAGTTACGACGACACATTCACTGATATACAGTATATACAGTATATATATAAATTTATATATATATATATATATATATATATATAATCTTTTGTTATTCAAAAAGTTCTGAGCGTTGTATTTAGATTTTTTCCTACTTCCTAGAAAGATTCAAGGAGAAATCTAGAAAAAAGAAAAATTTTACAAGAGTATTTGCTTAGTTGTTTCGCACTCTTTACAATAATAAATCGTTCTTTCGATCTGTAAAAAGTGTTGGAGAGAGCTAATTGGAATACCGTTTGTCTGCAGCCTTTATGAAACGTGTCTTGGTTATACAGTTCAGTTGATAAATGTCGATCTATAGAAAAATAGGTTATACATACGTATGTATAAGAATATAATACACAACATCTTTTCCACCTATACGTATATACAGTATAAATGCGGCATATACTGTATATACAATATATATATATATATATATATATTCTGTGTTCTATTTATTCTTATATATACAAGCAAACAATATGATTACTATTATTATTGTCATTATTGTTCTTACTACTGTTATTAAAGTAAAGGGAGTAGCTTGTTTTCTATGTCAATTTGAAACAAACAAATATTAGTATATAATTGAACTAAAGCAATCTTTCAAGTACACTCATCATTAAACTGTTTAAAGTATGAAAGTATATCACAAGTATTTACAATTTCAATATTGTAATTCACTTCTCATATAATAGGTTGTTATCTACTAATATGAAAAAATGCAAAATTAACTTTATTAATTATCTGTGGTAACTGGTATAATTTGTATCGTTTCCCTCCTTTTCCCCTTTAACAACAACAACCCATCACCCTTTTATCGTCAGCTTTATTATAATTTGCTTTTTTATTTGTTTGTTCTTGTTTTTCTATTTTTACACATTGGCTATGTTGCGTCCAAATAAAATTGATTCATAATTCTGTATCAACGGCTTGTACCAACTACTTAAAAAAACAGTATTCCTCCCTCTACCTTTTATTCATTCTATCAGACACTTTTCCGATATGCCTTCATATGCATTTATATGCAAGATAGGTTAATTGAATTTATGAATTCTATCTCTTTTTAATACTTGATTCAGTCATAAGACAATTTTTTTATTAAATCATAAAAAGTGAGGAGAAAATAAAATTTAAGAAACAAAACCGTCTTTTTCGCCAACTTTATTGCAGTTAACAATACAACTCTTTACGTAGAAGTGGATTTATTGAAAAGCATCGCCATATAATTCAATTCGTAAACTAAATGACACAATACAGCTTATTACTTTCTCTGGCAACCATTCCAAAACAAGAACATGTATAATCTCTTTAAAGAAGACTTAACATTCGTATGAATAATATATTAAGTGTATTAATTTATAAAGAGTATATAGAGTAAATAATAAACAAAGAAAAACTTGAGTGGAACAAACTAAGGAAAGGAGATGGAGCCATTCGTTATAGCTCTTTCAGTTCTCTTTTCCCACTTTTTCCTATTATTAATGTCTCTTTTTATTTATACTAAAACTTATGTATATATGCTTATTCCGCTTTGTTTTCCTCTTCTCTCTCTCTCACGTAATATATTCTCCTCCCCGCCTCGCCTACCTCCATCTTTTTCTCGATCTACTATTTATAAGATGACCGGGTTAGTGTTCAAAAGATGAACGTGAGCACTCTACTGAGGCGTACTCAATCACGCTCTTTGACATATTTCCTCTTTTATTAATTATATCTAAAATACAAGCCTTAAAAGAATAATAAAGGCCTAAGTAAAAGACTATAAAAAATTTAATGTCGAAAAGATATTACGTTACGAAAACAAAATAATTACAAAGTTTTACACTAAAAGAATTTTGCTGAGAAATTTTTCGACATGAGCACATTTCCGTTTTTTCTATTCGATGTAAAAATAGCATGTCGTTATATTGATATTGAGAGAGAATCGTCTTAGAGACATCTTTACATCTATATTCTTTTCTTTCTTCTACTTTTCCTCTTTTACTTTCTCTCTGTTTCTGTATGTGCTTCTATGCTTACTTCGCCTTCTTCTTTTCAACATTTGTTCATTCATTCATCTTTTTTTCACACCCTTTCTTATTCTCTTATTGCTCTGTCGTTTTGTCTCTCTCTCTCTCTCTCTTCATCCGAGAACTGTTCAGGATACAATATATAAAGCATTAGATAAACTCTGTTATTAATATATCAGTTGATAAACATTCGGTATGTAAATATAAGGAGATGTAGGTTTTATTTTAGTCTCCACTGCCACAATACGATGGATGGAATAGGGAATTAGGGAAAGACGTGTCGCAAATAGCTTGTTAAATATATACTTTCGAGGTTCGTATTTCCGATATCTATTTTATTTTTTCCTTTACGATACGTTTTTAGGTTGATTTTCCACGAAAAATTACCCAACTTTCCAAATTAAATACATCTAAAGAATTTCTTTTCGAGTTTACGATTACTTATTTAATCTGACTTTGAGCATTCACTCGCGAATTTCATCTAAAAGCCGACCAACAAATCGGATTAACCTCAACATTGTCTCCCCTGCAAAACCTTAATCTGATCCCCGATGTATAGGACAGGGGCCGAAACTAGTTTTCCTTTTTTATGGAAACCTGATCCGAACACCAAACTAAATATGATAAAATTAAAATTTTTCCAATCAACAAGTAAAGATTACGTTACTTGATCAGTTTATCTCTTTAGGCAGCTGATAATCTCTTTCCTCTCTATCCTCTTATACAGGCGTCAAATAGTAATATTCGGCAGCAAGAATAATTCACCGCTAAATTTCAGCTTGAATAAATTGACTTCTGTAATCGTACAAAGAGCAGTAGTACACTATAGAAAAGCACATACAGTATATACTGTATTACGTTGAATTTTGCACAACATACAAGAGAATATTGCTCTAAAAAAGTGAAAGAAACAAGCTTTCAGTAGAACTAAAAATCTAAAAGAACAAAACACAGGGAAACCATGAGGAACTGAAGATAAAGAAGAGTTTGGAGAAGGAGAACAATAAGTTAAGAAAAAGAGGAAGGGAGGTCAGTAAACCTTTTGGAAACAGAAGAAAAAGGAAAAAATTTCTTACATTCATAGTACTGTATGTTATGAAAATGCTAATGGATAAAAATTACCACTTTCTAATTTCATCCTAATTTGCCTTGAAAATTAATTAAACGAGACTTTTTGATTAAATATAAGAATCTTCTCTTTTTACACCTAGGGGACGGATGATTTTATAGATCTTGCATAAATCTGTTGCCATAATTTACTGTCTCATTTCTAATTTAGCTCTTGCTGAGGGAGTTTCTTTTTAGGTTTCTTCCTTTAAACATCCTATCGGCAATGCATGTTTTCTTTCTTTGCATTTCATAAAGAGTTTAAAGAATAGCACTTATTTAATATTTAAAGTAGAGCTATTAAAAGAAAGAAATATGAAAAAGAGAAGAAAAGGAAATAAAGAAAGAAGATATAAAAAAAAGAGAGAGAGATGAAAAAGTCTCTTTCTTCAATGCCACTGCTGTCATAAATTCTACTTTTTCTAAAGAGTAGCTGATTTTCATCTTAAACAGTGGCTCAAATCTCTTTCTAAACTACTTTATACCTTTTTCCTTCATTCTTCTCCATTCCAAATTTTTGCTTACAGTGATTCTGACAAACCGAAAAAATTTTGTCGTTTTTTTATTATTTCTATTTATCTTTGACCTAAATATAAATAAAACTAATTCTTTGTATTTATCTCTACATAAACTTTACACCTAATAAACCATTACATTTCACTTTAAGTACAGTACCCTTGAGAGCTTAATTTCTTGCATTAGGTAATAATGACTAATATAAAACTTATTTAAAGCCATAACGTAGCCCTAAAAGTTATAGGAGATAACCTCTCGTTGCATTTTATAACGTCTTACTAGACGTTGTAGTATACTCATTATACAGAATGTAAGATAATCGCATAAATAACAAAAGGTACTTAAAATTTTTTGCATTATCCTCATTATTCTTTAAGTCGAGATTGAATTTTAGAAACTAAGTCCTGATATATATACGGTATATACATTATACTGTAGAGGGATAGCTAATATAAAAATCTCCTTTTTCTCTTTATTTTCAACTCTCAACTCAATTCTAGTACTAATTAATTGATTTAAATAAGATACTGTCAAATAATTTCTTCCCATCTTATGCGAGTATCTCTTTCCCTTTGTGAACAATAACTTTATCAGTTTTCAATCAAGCAATAAAGGAGGTTGGTACGGAAAAAGTTCATTATATGTAAAAGGCAGAAATGAAATTGCCTTCCTGCCACTTGCACGCATTTTTTTCTAGAAATTATTATTTATAGAAAATATTTTACTCTCTAAATTGAATGGTTCGACCTTGAAAATTTCTGTAACAGCTTGGTAAGATTCTGATTTCATTATACTCCTCTTATATTCAGATTAAAAGTGCAGGTTTTTTCGTGACTTTTTCTTAAAGATAACCTAATACTCTACCGGTTTATCAATAGATTAGAACTATTCGCTGTCCATAATATGATGGGATCTGATATGTTACTGTCTCCCTTTCTTTCTCTCTTTAAGTATTGGAATAAATAAGGTATAACTATGCTTTGGGGGAAGATACTCTTTACTTTATATTGTTCATATATAGTGATACATAAACGTCAAAAGACTGTCTATACTTTTACCTTTATCTCATCCACTTAAGATACCAATACATCTATAAATGTATTGTGTACAGCATATATCCTGTACTTGTGTAAAGCATAATGCAGAATGTAGTTATAATGTATATGGACTTAACAAATTCAATTCAATAAAGATGTAAGAGAATCAAAGAAGCTTTAAATCAGTCATCCAAAAAACAAACTATTGTTAACAATTCGTCAAGAATCCTTCTCTTTTTTTTAATTGGGTCTCAACAAGTAAAAATTGCTATCCTTATCTTTTCTTAATTTTCTTTTCCTGCCTAAAATGAAAAGCAAAAAAAAGTCAATAATTATTAAAATAATAGTAGTAATGATGGCAATGATGATAATGATACTAAATGAAGAAAAAGAGGAGTGGAAGAAAAGAAATGAGAGAAACAAAAAAGAAGGGTAAGAAAAGTAAAAGTAGAGAAAAAATCCTAAAGGATTTATTATTTATACATATTTATAACATTTAAGTAATGGGAGACTTTAGATCGTTAAGAATGATTTAAGAGAAATGAAAAAAAGCTGAATTCTCATTGCTGTTACTTTTTTCTTTCATTTTATCCTCCTACTCTCTCTCTCTCTCTCTCTTTTGTCTCTCGCTCTCAAACGGACTCAGTCATTCTGACACATATATATATATATAGATACATGCATAACCTTCTATCACCCTCTCCCTCACTCTCTCACTCTCTCTCATAAACATCCTCTCTATCATTTTCTCTTTTTGCCTTTATCTCATTCAAAGTAACTAGTTTTTCAGTTAAAGAGGTAAAAAATTTAAAAGGAAATAGCGTCATTTAATCTCCTGCTTAGTGTTTTACCGTAAACCCAACAATTAATCGTACAAAAATCAAAGAGAATATTATTACTATCCATTTTAATGGATCCAATTTTTTCGTCTCACTTCAGCTCATGTGAAGATAAGACAGATTAACTCGGTGCTTATTTAGTCAATAATATGCAATCTGCTTAATGCCTATTTAAACGACTTTATCGGGTGATTCTAGGTAAATGATGTTAATAATCCATTCCTATCAATTTCAAAAGAAAAAACAAGTTAAATCCGAGTTTTGTTCTAATTTAATTGCAAAAGAAAAAAGCAACTAGACGTAACGTCGTTGCCTAATTTGACAGAACTTTGGCATTGAAAAAAACAAGGCAAAATCTGCAACAAAATAGAAAATAACGAAGAAAATTTTTATGTCTCTTTTCTTCCAAATGAAAATATAAATGAGCTCATTCGAAAAGCTTAATATCTAGAATCTTCTTATTCTTCTTTTACCAGACATATAGACTACGCCTAGACAATAACTCTGATGAAACAGAGTTATGATGATCTAATTTACTTTTATTTTTTAACCAAGGGGGAGAATCTCTTGAAAAATATCCAATAAAGAAATTACAATTTTACATTTAGGCCTATATTTCGTCAGAAAAAATTTTATTGTTTCAGTGCTATTAGCGAACTTTTAAGAATGAATAATAGACAAGTAAAATGTATGGTTACATTTTTTTTACCTGCATAACCTTTATTTTCTATATTTATATATTTTTTTTTATAGTTTTCCCTTTCTATCTTTTTTTTTAATAAAAAACATTATAGAGTTTGCTAAAAATTTCCCCAGAATACTCTTTGTAAACAAAGGTGTTGTTTATGTTTATTAGCTCATGAATATAAATGAATCATTGGTCTGCTGCTCTTTTTAGTCGTCGTAATGTTGCGTTTCGGCATAGTCTTTTTACTTTTTGCCATTGGTTACTCTGCCGTGTTAGCGATTCAACAGGTAAAATATTAATTTTATTATAAAATCAGCTTTAATTACTTTCTTTTTTAATCTTTTATGTATAAGTAGACAATTTTCTCTTTTTTTCTTCTTCTTCTTTCTTTCTTTCCCTCTCTCTTACATTTTTGTTTCTACCCTCAATAACTTTTTACCTGTTGATATTTAAAAATTACCTGAAATCTCCTAAGATGGGCAATCTGTTTTAGCTTGACAGTGCCCTTTAAAGGGGCGGAAGGGGAAAATTAAGGATATCTCAGTTTCGTAGGGAATAGGGAGGAGGAGTAGGAAAGCGTAAACTAATTATTAAAGAACTATTGAACAGCGTATAACTCTTAAAGAAATTTAAATATTAATATTTCTTAAAGGTTGAACAGAGAGCACCGCAGAGGCCATCAAGTTTTTCGAGTCCCAATGACATTGAAGATTTTCTGACCAAGGTTAGAGCATACATGAAAGCAATTGGTAGACCTCGTTACGGAGGATAATATCAACTATAGAATAATGTACCCTTTTTGGCTTATTAATTCCCCAATAAATGTGCTCACGTGAATCTCAAGATAATCATTGTTGTAACCGAAATGTAATAATTTTTTTTGGTAAAAAAGTTGACTAAAGTAACTTAGATTTTCTTTAATTTAAGATAAAAATAATCTGAAAAAGAAAAGAAAAAAATATTTATTACAACGTTCATTGAAAGAAAATACCTTGAATTTTATAAATCACTTATTCTAATTACCTTTCGAATAGAAAGACTGTCAAATAAAATCAGGATCATGATCGAGATAGAGGAAAGCTAGTAGTAATCTTCCAACTGGAAAAGAACCAATTAATCTTGATGAATTTTTTGTTGGAAGATTATACTTTTTTATTTCTTTTGTTTTAATTTTAATTCCTTTGCTTCGTACTTTCCTATTAAATCTTCTTTGATAGTTACTTTCGTGTTTTCCGATGATTCTTCTGAAAAACAAGAGTAGATAGTTTGCCGAATAAAACTAAGAAAGAGAAAGGGGAAAGGGGAATAAGGGATTTTCGGATAGAGGTAGGAGACGGATAAAAACACAAAAGTTGAAGAAGACGTTGATCAGGTTTTTATTTAATTAAACTGTTTTTGCAGCTGGTTTTGAGAGAAGAGTAGAATTTATATTCAGAGAGAAAAATGAATGAAAGAGCCTTGGATAGAAAGAAAAAGCATTTAAAAGAAAAACAACTAGTTTTTGATCTTGAAAAGAAAAATAAAATTTATTTAGAGAACAGAAATTCTATAGCAATATGTAAGAATTTCGGTTATGCTTATTATCTTTCGTATTTCGCCCTTCCTTCACAATTTTCTTCTTTCTAGTCTTCGATTTTGAATCTATCTCATTAAGAGAAATCTGTTCTTTTTCATTGGAAGAAAAAGAAACAAATAGAGTATTAATTTTAAAAGGAAAAATCCTTTAACGAGAATAATTGAAAAAGAAAACTAAGCCGAATTGCCTTCTAAACCCTTACGTTACTAATTAAAAAGTGGTATAATCGCAAGAGAAAAGAAATAGGATGGCGGTAAAAACAACTGAGACAGTTTAAAGAGTGAAATAGCTTTTAAAAAGAATTCTACAATGCTAGACTTCCTTATTGTCTCTGTAGATACAAGTAATGAAGAATAAAAGTAAAGTTTAAAGAAAGATCGAGACAGCTGATAAGTTGGTTGGTTAGATAAGTGCATAAATAAAACATGGAGGAGAACAGAGAGAAGACGGAAAGAAAGAGAGTAAGAAAGAAAGAAAAACACGCAGAGAAACTAAGGGGGAAAGGATGTGGAAAAGAAAGAAAAGGAAAGAAAAGGATTATTCTTTGTCTTTATTTATTTTGCTTACATTGAATTTTAAGAAAGGAGAAAATATCCTAAAGCAATTCGCCAAAGAAATTAGCATTTGGGTTTATTAAGAGAAATGTAATTGATAAGAATAAACTCACTCGGTCAATTTAACAGTCGTATCTGTCTTCCATATTTATTTTAACTCTTGAAATAAGTAATTGGCATTTCTACATCTAATTGACTCTTCATCTTGAAGCTGATAGACTTACCAATTCCTATTTGCTAATCTTTCAAACTCATTTATTAATTTGCATATATTCTTTCCTAATTGAATATTCATCGACACATTTAATAAATAATATTCATCATCTTCCAATCAACGCAATTCTATTTATCTTGTCTAATTATTTCATATCCTTTTACAAATTATTGAAAGGAAAAAGTCGTATGAGTAAATCCTACATAAGCTAAGTTTGTAATATCTCGTAAATTGCCAATTAACAGTGTTTGTATATGAAAACAATTTATTCATTTACAAAAAAAACTTTGTTACCGTACATACGTATTAAAATAAATTATGTAATTACTCTCTCTTCCTCTCTCTCTCTCTCTCTCTCTCTTTCTTCTAGACACAGTATATACAGAATATATGTGTATGTAATGCTATTTATTAATTCAAGTATTCTCCTATGTTAGATTATACTTTCGGATAGGTAAATCTCGTTCTATTACAGTTGGTTCTTAATAATAAATTTTTAAATGGGTTTCTTTTCAACAATTTCTACTTGACTGATTTATTCGTTACCATGAGGTTTTTTTTCACATGTCGTTTTACCTGTCTTTCCTTCTCATATCATTTTCTAATACGCCATCTGTCGTATAACCGATATACTGTATACAGTACATATAAATCTTGTATCCCTCTACATCCAGAATCTTTAATTATATAATAAGATAGTTAAAGTGAATATAAAAATAATACTTGTAATTAATTTAATTAAACTTTATCGTCTACTTTTTTAGAAGAAAAGAGAGAATAATTTTTATTGATATTGATTTCAAGAATCATTTTATTGAATTTTCTTCTACTTATAAGCTTAACAGCTTTAAGCATATTGAAAAATAAATAAATATACTATATATGTATATATATTATTAGTATTTTATATATAAATGTACACTGTGTATATACTATATACAGTATGTCTAACATCGTCGCTTAATCTTCATTCTTGTTAATATTATTTTTAGATTGTTATTAATTTCAAAGGATAGGTGGTGAGATGATATTTCAATTATAGGAAGCTTTTCTTTTTTTTTAACTTGGATATTAGTGATGATATAGCTCTCTTCTTTTGTCTCTATTCAATTTACTGTTTATGCTTCTCTATTTCCTTTGATTCCATCCGATTCTCTCGCTCAATCTAAGCTTGATGCTGAGAAACCTATCTGTTTTTACATATTTATCAATTAATCTATTTATTTAATTCTGTAATCATGTAAAGACTAATTTATAAATTAAATTTCTGCTGGCATTATCGATATTATTAATATCAAGTTTTAAGGTAGTGTATATATTATTATAGGGTAAATTTGCTTTTCGCTCAAGGCTCATTCATTCGTTAGTTATTATATTTTGTAAATTAAACAAATGAATCCTCTATTTGGCTAATCGTTTACTTTAAAATATTTCGCTTTCCGAATAGAAAAAGTTTAAAAAAACCCAAATTGAAAGGATGCTTTAAGAGTTTGAAATAAGAGGTTTCTTAATCTATATCGATATAGTAAAGAGCTTAAACTAATTCGTATTTGAGAAACGTATAAAAGAAATAAATAGGATAAGATAATATAAAAGAGGGAATAAGATTGATACATTTTTATTTTTTTGTTTTTTTTAAGTAAAAAACACAAAATTAATACCGGCGTTTAATTCAATTGATGTCTTCTCTTTCCCACGTTTCCTCCTTCAATCAGCTACCCTTTTGTGTAACCGACTCCGAAATATTATTTACAATCGCTACACGATTCTTTGACAGTTTTAGCATCTGCCGAAGGTTTTGCAGGAAGAGCATGTAACCGTTTCGGAATAACTTATTCGTTACAGCGTATAATATGGAGTTTGTGGAGCTTGACGCATGAGCAAACAAGACCGAATAGTAGTAAGCGGCATGAGGGGCCTTATCGTAACGGTCTATAAGACAAATTAGGGCGTAGGGAGCCCAACTAAAACAGAATACAATGAAAACGATAAGTAGAGTTCTTGCCAGTTTAATGTCGTTTTTAAATGCCCTTTGAGCTTTTTTCCTTTGTAGTTTTTCCAGTTCAGAACTGTTCAGTACAAAAATGAAAACGTTTCATTTAAACAGAAGCAATAAGTTATACAATATAGAAAAACCTAGCTAATTGTATTAAAGTATAAGTATACTTTTATTTATTAGAAGGTAAATAATATATGTGTTTCATCTATATATATATATATATATAAATCCTATATATAGTTAAATATTGTCTATAATACTTTGTTTTATACTCATTTACAGTTACCCTTAACTTGTATTCTTAAAATACTATATGTACCGTAGTATAAATAGAATTTATTTCGTTTTATATGTATTTATATAAGATATATTTCATTCTCTTACTCTCTTTTTGTAAAAGTCTTTCCTATTAGTTATAGCTTTATTTATTCAACTAATATTCTTGACAAAAGTATAGACTACTATAAACACTAGATCTACTTTTCTTAGCTGGTTTTTGCTTGAAATTAACATATCTAAAGAGCAAATTATCTTTACTGATAGAGAACTTACTTTGATGTTTGGGTTTGACTGTTGTCTGTAAAATAACTGGTCATTGTTTTCCCTTCCTTAATATTAGGATCTCTTAGCCTTACTCTTCTTTTACTCTTCAATACGATTAAAAATATATTTATGTTGCAAAATAAGACTGTCAATAGAGGAAGTGAAACAAACATCATAATAAAAAATACGGTATAAGAGTACGAAGCCAATCTATCGTAAGAGCAAGCCAGAGTCTTCATATCGTAAGTGTGATCTCCCCAATCTGCAAAGTTTGGTACATCAAGCATCAGAGCAAAGAACCATATACAAAATGTGTAAAAGTAAGTAAGACGCCAGCTGAAAAGTTTGTTGTAGTTATTTGATTTACAGATTCTAACGTATCTGTTTAAGCTTATCGCTCCAATACTCCAAAGTGAACAGACGCAACTTATTAGACATATACTACCAATAGCGTGACAAAGTATTGGCCTTTCTAAAAAGTAGCTGTCTTTAAGAAAAACTCCCGCTACGCTCATTGGATCGACAAAGCAAGTGACCTAAAAAGAGAAAAACAATAAAATCCTTTTTTGCAGCATACAAAATGATAATTACTTTCTATAATTGAGTATTATTAATAATTTCTCTTACCATCTTAATTTTGTTTTTTCCTTTAATTTTAATGATTTACTCAAAAGAAGACGCAGTTATTGCGCTTTAACAATGTTAATGACCAAAGCTCTAATTGTAAATTATCAGTAAGTAAACTAGTACGCCGACATAAACAAGGATGCCACATAAAAAAAGGATAATTTACTTATATGATATACAAAAAAAACTTACACATAAGTCGGCTATTGCCAAATTAACGATGAATACATTACTTTCCGTTCTGAGCCGTTTATCACAAAAAACTGCTCCAAGAACGCAACAATTTCCCAAATTACCAACAAGTGTTGATATAATCAAGAGTATGGCGTAGACTAGAACGCTTGGAGTAAGCCCAATGTGTTCACCCATCATCTTCAGTACTTGCAATAATATTAACAACTTATTTAAGTTGATAAGCCAAGTTTACTTTGATAAATATATTTTCTGTTAACTTTTCCTGCTTGTCTTTTCGCTATTCCTTTTAACCTTTAGTATGTACGTCTGCAACTATATTTATGTGTATATATATATATATATATAGAAGTATTTATTTGCCACTAGAGGGATACTGCTTTCAATGCTAAGTCGAGAACAACTTGACAGAAATTTAATTATAGAAGAGAAACTTTGTTCAATTGTCTCCGAAAAAGCTTTCAACCTTTCATTTTTCTTTTTTAAAGTCGGCTGGAGAAAAAATTAAAAGATAAACTTTTAATAAACCAATATTAATTCCTTTTGCTCATATCACGAATTTCTGCGAGCAAAAGCTTAAAAGTTTTCTATTCATTCAACAAGATATAAGACTTTTATTTCTCTACTTTAAGTTTTAGCCTTTTGTCTCGGAAACACAATTCTTTTCTTGCTATTGTTTCTTTCTCTTTCCCATTCTCTCTATCCATCTAACATGTCTAGTTGTCATTTCTATCTCTCAACAGCTAGAGGTCATTACAATTTTCTATTTTGACAATTAATTGACTTTTTAAAACTACTTACGTACAAATAATTAAAATACATTAAAGCTTTATTAACTTTAATTATCTAATTTTTATCTATTTAAATTCTAAGTAATTTCATAAAGTAATAACAATCTCACTATAATTCTTGTTCAAGTGCTTTACACAGAGAAAAAGAATAAAGTATACCATCAAAAGAAAGATTCAGAAAAAAAACAAGGTGACAGACCTCTGTACTAGTACTGCATACTCTGTGGTGTATCTACAGTACGTCTATACCCTAGTATACTGTCATTTTAAAAACAACTATATCAGAGAATTATTCTAGCATAACGATCTGCTAAGTCTTTTTTTTTGTAATTATATGTTAATTTATTATGATATTAACAATACTAAGCCTTCTCAGAGAATGGAGTTGTCTTGATTATAATCTTTAAAAATAAATGTTTCTTTTCCTGTCATTTGTTCTATTGCGGTGGAAGAATGTAATTCACGGTGCATAACTAATATCCTGCATCTTGTCTTTACCGCAACAAATTGCATCTTCTCAATATTTAATACATAAGTAGTTTATATTCCGCTACTTATGTATCTCTATACAGAACATTTTATATAAAAGAAGAAAGTTAAAGCAAGTAAAATTGGGTTTGTAAAGTTTGTAAATCTATGACAAGCTACCTCATCTTTTAATACTTTACTCATGTTTTTGTTCTTTCTATATCATAAAAATCTATTGACAATAGCTTTTGAGTAAAAGGCTATGCTTATTCTAACCAACTAGCACTGTCTAAATGATAATAACTCTTTTACGCATGTCTGAACTTACATTTTATCAAGTGCCTTTTTTCATCTTGAATTCCTTCACTATGAAACATAAATTCAGCTTTTCTATGTATCTTAATTTTTAGCCCATATTGTATGAATATGCTCCTGTTTCACTTGCAAACTAAATGCAGTATTCTCATTTCTAACATCATGTAATTAACAATCTGTTTCCACAATCAGGCAAGAACCGACAGTTGAATCCTTTATAAATACATAGTATCATTTAATATCATTAAATGAATGCACTCTACGCTGCTCCTGTTTTAGTTCAGTTGTGTTACGTACAATATTAATTAAATATATTCAATGTAGTATATGATACTCCATTTTCTTTTAACAATAATTTCAAACTACAACGACTTGTTAACAACAAACGAACTTGCGGTGGCCTGATTACCAAGTGCTATGCCATACAGAGTCAATGAGCCTCTTTTCTCTTAAAAAGCCCATCAAATAATGTATAAAACGTTTGAGATGCTGTTTTAAACAGAGAACTATATCTTGCCTTTTTAAATAATTGTTATTATAATCTAAACGTTCACTGTTTAATTATTAAATAAAGAAAAAACTTTTAGCTTTTTTCATTTAAAACAAGATAGAAAAGAAACTCTCCGAATCAATATCCGTCAATCCTGTTGAAAAATTATTTTCTGCTTTTAACTACAAGAGAAGAGAAAATACAATGAATTGACATTTGATTAAGATTTTTCCTAATATATTTCTACAGTTTAAAGGGAATTAACTGTCATTACAACATCTTCTAAGAGTAAATATATCCATAATTTTTTATTTGATTTTTTTTTCTCTTTGAACGCTCATTCGAAATTTGTATATGTTGAAAATCACTACCAATCAGGGATCTGCCATTTCATGTGTATACTACAGCCGTAAGATTATTTTGTAATTAGTGTATATATCCACTTTCTTTGTTGAATGAAATAAGAATAAATAGAAAATGGTGACAATATTTTCAGACAGACAGCATATATATATGCATATATATTAGTATATTAATATTCGCTGACATTAAATACAACGCTCATCTATTGCTGCCTTTGGTACATATACATATATTGTAGTTTTTTTGTCCAAATGTCCAAAGATATAATGTACATCTAAACAGTTGTACAAAAAGGTATTAAGATGTTTTTGACAAGGACATAAATGATTTTGGTTTATCAAGAACAGCCTGTGTAATAAAAACAAATTTGAAATAATAAACTCTAATTTTTCTCTCATTTTCCCTTTATTTCTTCCAGAATTGAGAAATCTTCTTTGCCGAAACGGTTCTATCCAAAACCGGCATTTGTATTCTCTTCTTAAGAAGATATTCTGCTTTTCTCTTTCTAGCTTGTACTGGAGTCATTTGCTTTAATTCTTCTTCAATATCAGCACTTAATTGAAATCTTGTTAAATATTTTTCTGGTTTAGTAATGACGGAGTTCTCCTCCTTCAATCTTTCCCTAACCCTTTTATAAGCGACCCTTTCTCTCATAGCTTCTTTTAATTGTCCAGTTTCCTTACTAAATTTGTTTTCTAATAATTTCTCCGCACTATCAACCTAAGTCAAAAAGAGAAGTAAATGATAGAGAGAGAGAGAGAGAGAGAGAGAAAAAAAAGAGATATTATTTAAATAGAATCTATGCTGGTTCTCCGTCCTAATCGATTTGATTCTATTGAAAATAACGTTGTATTATGTCGTTAAAATTCGATTTTTACCGTTAAAATTTCTAAATTATATCTCATTCTAAACGACGCTTCATTTCTCCATTATTTTCTTGTTTATATTAAAATAATTAAATATAGAAACATGGCTTTTTGTTTAGATAATATTTTTTATATATACAGTCTGTCAAATAATTGACATTAAATGCAACATTATAAATGTTAACATACATTTTAATAGACGTGTAAATGTTGAGATTCCTAACCTGTTTCTGTCTCCTATCCAAATAAACTTTTTCGCTTCGATTTAGAGCTTCGACTGCCTCTCTCCTCCTTTCGCAACTTCTTTTTAGGCATTCCTCATTAGTCTCAAAGAAGAATAACTTTGATTGGGAATCAAAATTTAACTTTCTCAACGGTTTCTTGGCCGCCATTAATATGTTGGTTTGAGCAAAAAATTTGTTGAAAATCGATAGGTGGACACTTCTGTTCGAATTGATTTCGTCAGCGTTTGCCACCGATTGAGCGTTTGTCGATATTTTCTCTACTTTATGACAGATTGACGTAAGGGGGTCGGCGTTGTTTTCGTAAGGGCTACCTTATTTGTTTAAGTAACGTTTAGGCCTAAAATTAAGTGGCGACAGTGAGTGGTAATCTTTCATATCGGCTATAGAGTTACTTTTAATATATAAAAGGATTAAGTTTGATATACTATCACTTAACACGTTGTTACGGTAGGTGGCCTTGTTTTACATGAATGTCATTTACTAATCTAGGGATTTCCTCATTCATCGAAAGCCAATTTACATGATAACTTCAACCCAGCGTTTAACCAACTAGCTATTGTTTTGGAGAGAAAAAGAATAATTTGACTATTTCAAATTATTAATTTCCCCGTTGAAAAGGTCATTATTTTCTTTTTTGAAGGGGAAAACGCCTCTGCTTTCTCCACCTTAATAGACAGATATATTTATACAACGCGCCACTTCAAGTGCAATTTCTCTGTCTATATTTTATAATATATTGCAAAGTAAACAATTGCATAAAATCTTATAAAATGCTTATATTTTTCAATTTATTCTTAAACTTTCAGCAGATAAAAAAGAAATAGAGCAAGCATTAAAAAAAAAGACTATAAAAAATTTGTGCTTGTACATGAAAAAACCTGCGTTCTTTTTATTTCTTTCTCTTCTTTTTAATAAAAACAAATATATCAAACAATTAAAAACCAAACAGATAGCTTTATCATATATTCTCACCCAATGTTTCATTTCAACACTTCTTATTAACAATCTTTATTTGTATTCTTCTCTCCGCTTTTCTTTAGATATCGAACTAATCCAATTCTTCTGCTTTAACCAATTCCCACACTACATTCAGGTTGACCCGTACCACCGTTTGAGAAAGAGAAATAGGAGATTGCGGAGTAAATCTTCAAGTAATATTTTTTGTTCATTGTATTTCTTGTATTGGCAATCCTGTTGAAAATATCGTGTCTCTCTGGTATACTATTATTGAATGAGCAGGGAGGAACGTTTGTCTTCTTACTGATTATTGAAAATTTATGGAAAACATATTTGAAAGCCTATAATATAATCAAAGTTAGAAAAAAAAGTAAGCGAAAAGGAAATGAAATAAAAGCTAAATCTATTTTTGTCAGTAAAAGTAATGGAATAGGAAACGAAATTGGTGATAGAACTTAATCTCTGTAAAAAAAAAATAGTTCATAATCTAATTTAACTACTTTTTTAAGTCTCAATAAAACTAGACAACCTTCTCTTTTCTTTGTGAAAAACTAAGAAGAAAGTGTTGAGAAATAGCACATTAAAGATAGATGAACGTGCACACATATATATATAGTATATATTAATATATATATACCGTATATGTATACAGTATATTGTATACGCCGACTTTATTTTCCATTTGTTTTATTTTTACTTAAATATTTCGTATTAATTTGGTTTTTCAATCTATTTCAACATTTATACATTTATAATTTGCTTATATTGATAATCAAAAGTAAAATGAATTAGAGTGAGGAGTTTCGAATGACTTTTTCTTTGCAATGTTCCTAATATGTATAAGTCTTAAGAGATACAATATGTAGATATATACACTTCTTTTTTGGGATCAAAGAAATAACAGATTTAAATCAAATAATACAAGAAGGATAAGTAGTAGATAAGAAAAAGGTGACATAAAAAGATTATAAAGAAAAGGATGTAAGGTGAGGAAAAGAGGGTTGACGGAGTGAAGATTTATAGTATGATACCATTTGCTTGCCTTGATGAACAAGAGAGAATGAATGTAAAACAGATATTAGTTCAGGTAGAATTAAAAGGGATGATAGGATAAACATAAATTTGATCCGATAATTAGAAGAGATCATTTACATGAGAAAAATTTTTTAAATATTGTTCGTTGAATGTTATGGATTGAAAGAGTGAAGGAATTCTTAGTAAAGATAAATTTAGTAGATATAGAGAAATGGTCAGAGATAAATATATACAAAGTACATGAATATGACATCCATGTATAAAGAGAAAGAGAGAGAGAGAGAGAGAGAGGAAGGGGGAGAGACATACAAATAGACAGACAGAGAAAGATATAGATAGAACTAGGAGGAAAAGTAGAATGAAAAGACGCGAGAGAATAGATAGAGATAGGCGTTAACTGAAACCGAGAAAGGAAAGATGAAAGTAAAAGGGAGAAAATAAAAGTAGATGAATGAACGAATAAATGAACGATTGACCAACTCGTCAGCACCAACATGAGCGACGGATGGAACTGAAAAAGGTAAACAAACAAACAAACAAACAAACAAATATTTGGCAACAGTCGTAAAATGTAAATTTTTTGTTGAGCTAGATTTTCGTAGTGAAAAAAAACAATCATAGTGCTGAAATTTTAGCACTTGTTGCAGAGGCTGGAGATGAATTTCCAGAAGTCCTGGAAACTATTGCAGTGGTTACGGTAGTTGTTCCGACAGGATGTTCACCAGATGGCGCAGTTATAGAACTGGGCGTCGCCACGACAACGGCATTCAATGACGTCCGAGAATAACGGTTTCCCTCTTGCAGTGTTCGGATATCGTTGATTTCTGCCTCTATTGGTGATCCTTTCTGTAAGGAGAGATAGAAAGAGATGATGTACACATTTTTTAGTCTATCATAAAAATGGACGAAAAATATCTGAAAAAAAATAATTGAGCGGCGCTTTAATTCGTTTCTCGTACAGAAAATCAATAAATTAGTTATTTAATGCAAATTTTTAGACTTTAGAAGGCGAGTTTATACGCTTAGGAGACGATCTACGAACGCCGCTGGCTTTTCACATTATTCTTTAGTTTAGGAATGTTTAACCAACCGTCAATCTATATCGAAAGAGAATAGTATCGGGAGTAGAACTCATTACCATAGGGGATGTAGAATAACCATATGGTATATTTGATATTCCATTAAGAACAGCTCTCGGTCGTATGTGTTTTAGTGCAAGATGGATCTTTCACTCTCTCTCTCTCTCTCAGACTATTTCCCTTCCCTCCCTCCGTCTCTCTTCCTAACTATCTCACTATCGCTATATCTGCCTATTTATCTATTTTCTTTTCCTTTCCCTCAATCTCTCAATCTTTCGTTTTTTTTTTTTTATTTTATTTGTTCTTTCTATTGTCAGAATTCTTCTGGTGAGGTGGGCTTTTTATTCCTATTATCAGTCAGGTAAGAGTATTTTTTTCGGGCAGAAAAGAAAATAAGATAGAGTTTTAGAGTTAGAAGGCAAGCAGATTTTGATGAGAAAATTTTTGTTTTTGATGCTTTTTCAAGAACAAATAACATTACGAAAAAAACGATTTTGATAAGAAAACAAATTTTGCTGCAGATTCTCCTGTTTTTCACAACTAAAGTGTTCGTACAAACATTGACTATTTGTACTTACTTCGTATTTGCTTTTCCTAGAACGAGGGCAACAACTGGAAAATAAATGTTGCTCAATTGATGAGGTTGAAGATTGCCTAGTTATAACGGGCATCTGCTCTTGAACAGGACTTGAAAAGTCATTAAAATCCGCATCACCAAATTCTCGACCCTAATTAGAAAATTTAGTGGATTAGTAATTTAAACAAAACACGAACAACTATTGATAAGAGTTTTGCCATTCGCCACAAACGCTTAACTAAATGAATAAAATGGTATTGTTCAATCATATTGCGTACGACATTTCGGTGCATGCCAAAAAAATACACACACTTGATAGATCACGTGGTTTGAAGAGATACGTGCACGAGAATAATAACCACACTTAGTTCCGACGATGAGCCAGCAATGAGATTAAACAGACGGTCTGTCTCTTTGAAAAAGAGTAAGAAAAAAGAATAGGGGTTTGAAGAAGGAGAGAGGGAGAGAGAGTGTTAGAAGGGTAGACGGGAGAGTGGTGGGGCTAACGATAAAGAGGAAGAGTAGAGTGTGTAAAGAGTGTTAGAAATATCAGAAAGAAGAGGAAGAAGAGGAAGATGATGATGATGATTATAATGAGAACAAGAAGAACAAGAAGCAAAAGAGTATAATAGAATCTTGTCTCTGATACGTTATTATAATAATTTTAATATTGGCATCTTTCTACTAAAATCTCAATAATTTTGAAAAATAAAAAGTCAAGAGTCACTAACTAAGAAATTCCATCAAATAAATAGTTTACATTTCAACAGCTGTGAATTAAACAGTTACTTCTGCAAAATCCGATTTACCAACCAGAAGTTTGCAGTGAAAGAAACTCATTTCCAGTACAGGTGCAATAAGTTATTGTAAATATCGATTAGATTATCTAGTAGAAAGATTCAAATGTGGACCTAATTTTTTCCTAACGTAAGATGGATTACAAGGAAAGTTATAAGGACTGGTAAGCTACATACAAAGAGAATGGTTGATTAGGAATGACTCCTTTGAGTATAATTATGCCGGAGAGAATTCCTAAATCTTTTCATATTTCTTAGTTATTAGAGGTTAATTTATTTTATTTTTCTCTGCATTCCTATCTAGCTCTTTCCATCTTTTCATCATTGTACTAGTTTATAGTGTGTATATTTTTTGTTGTTACTTTTTGTACGTCTCTTTGCCTATCTCTCTCTCTTCTACTTGTAGGTCTCCTATTCTTTAGTGTTTTTTTTTTGATTCTGGAAGCCGTTGTTTAATCTCATTGCATTTTCTCACTTAAAAAGAATAAACAATCTAATCAAAGCCCTTCCTAGGAAAATTTTTTACCAGTTCGAAAGCCCCTAAGAAAGAGTCTTTCATCATTTAAATTCATTTCTTTAATTGATTAATTTTAAATTGTAATCAAATACTTTATATAAACAAATTATTGATGAAAGATTCTCCTTGATAAACATTAATAGACATATCTACATTGTCAAACAACGCAATATTTTCATTTTATATGACAAAATACAATTTAATATTCACTCATCTTTAACCAATTGACGTGAACGAATATATTTCGTTAAATTTAAATGTGTATTTTCGTTTCATTCAAAAATTTAATGAATATGTAAATAAGTTAATTTATTCTATATATTACATATTTTTCGTACCGTTATTTGTATTATATATACAGTATATTGTAATATAATATATAGTATATATAATTTGTTTTTCGCCAAGTAAATACGTCTTTTGTTTTTTTAGTTTTCTTAATTAATAAAAAGCATCTCTATCCACAAGGTTCTTTTTTATGCTCAATTATATACAATACACATATAAATATACGAAATATTTAAATAGCCTCATATATATATATATATATATATATATCTATATATAGATATATACACTGTATATAGATATTTATATACATATATTATTGAATATATGCGTTTTTATGTATAGGTACCTGTTTCCTTTTCAGCTATTTTTGATTTAAAATAAACAGAAACTATACTTTTGAATAAAAACATAAAAATAATAATAATAATAAAAGAGATATGTAAACAAGGCTTAGAAATGCACGAAAGAGTAAAAGATCCTGCCCTTCCTTTCTCTTTTGATTTTCTTTTCAGCCCGTTCATCACATAATTATATAACGTAGATCTATTTACGTTGTATTAACTTATTATGATGATGATTATTAATATTTATACATTAGTTATAAATTCTGTAGAATATAATTTGTTACAAAAATAATAAAAGAAAAAGAAAAAAGGAACCGACTGATTTAATTAAATTCTCCTCTTGTCTAATTAGACTCTCAACCAGGGAAAAATAGTCTGAGAAAATCAAAATAAAAAGAGGAAATTTCATAATAATCTACGGAAATTCTCTTCTCATATAATATGGTAAATAATCTTTTTATGCGAGTACATTTAAATAAGCCTTGCCAGTGCCTTAAAAATGAAAACGCTGTTGCACTTACAGCGCATGCGCAAATTATATATACTTGGTGTGTTGTGTAGGTTTAATAGGAAAAAAATCCATATGTAAAAATTTTCGGTTGTAAAAAAAAATAGAGAGAAAAAGGAAGAAAAACTCACTGTAGCCTTTTCCAGACAGGCTAACAGATGATGGTGTTGCATTTCGAAAACGTCCTCTTTTCCATCGAATTCAACGTCAACTCCTCTCTCCCTTGCCGCCATTTTCTCCTCCGTCTTCTTTTTGGACGTCAAGAAGGCCGAACTAGCAGCGTTCTTGGCCATCCTTATGCGAGCCATACGCGCTTTCTATTATTTAGAAAAGGGAAAAGGAAGTGATGAATTGGTAAAAATTCATTCATTTCGTGTTGCCAACATTTTTTAGTTATTTCTCTTTTTCTTAAAGAAAGAGAAGAGGTTTTTTTTATTATTTTGATTGTTAAATCAAAGGTTAGATTATTCTTTGTATATCTAATAATTCGCTTATAAATGACCTTTAACAGGCTAAACATTTCAACAAACAACATTTGTTGAACTTTGTATACTTTTAACTTTATTCCCAAATATTTTTCTCTCTTATTTAAGCTAAGAAAAAAAGAAGGAAAATTCTTTTCATCATTGCGAAATATCTAAATCGTCCCTATATAACATCTAAGATGCATTAATGACTGATTCCTGTCCGCCTTCATCTATATACATATAGGTAAATACGTATGTATGTATGTATGTATGCGCACGTGTACTAGTATAAATAATAAAAGTAAATCCTTTGCTCAATATCCAGCATAAACACTAATAGAATACGTAAGCCTATCCTCTTTTTGAGCCTGTTAAATTTACCCGACATCTAAAAATAGATCACGAGCTTCCGAATGGTTGCTAACAAAGACGATAATCATCTACAATTAAGTTGGAAATAGGCCTAAGTTCTATCGTCATCGGAAACGAGAGATAAAATTTGGAAACTGACGAGACCTTTTGAGCTTTACGCTTATCTGCTCGCTGGTTTTGGTGGTAGATTCGACTGAAATTCGAGACGATAACCGGAACCGGAAGCGCGATAACGAGAACGCCTGACAAAGAGCAGACTCCTCCCACTATCTTGCCAGTTATTGTACTCGGCACCATATCACCGTATCTGTAAGAAGAAGAAAAAGAAGACTAAATAAGAAAACTTGGACAAAATAATAAAAAGAAATTAGCTAGTCTGAACATTTATTTTTTATCTCTTACTTTCAAAAAGCAAGTGTTAAGAGATAGTTAAAAGTCGTATAATTGGACCTTTATCATAGATTAAGAGCCCTCATCCTGTAGGCTCTCCGAAAATAAAATTAACAAGAAATTGTTTGCACGAGACTCAGGTCTATTTAATTATGAAACAGATGTCACCGATGAATAAAAATTCTTATCATCATCTAGGCGAAAAGCAGTTTCTTTAGATATTTGAATTATTGGGAGGCTAGGAATGAGAGAAAGAAAGAGAAAGAATTAGAGTTAGAGGAAGCTTTGTGTGTGTGTATGTGTGTGTGTGTGTGTGTGAGTGAGAGAGAGAGAGAGAGGGAGAGTGAAAGGAGGGGAAGGAGAAGGGGTGTCGTGTAGGAGAATAGAGGGAAGGGGGGAGGGGGCAAGCGAAATATGAATTAATATTGATATATTAAAGCACAAACCTATGCATATATAGTTAATTTATGAGCATTTATCTTTATAATTATTTACTTACTTATTTATATATTGATATATTATATATTTATATATATTTCCTGTTAACTAATATTAATTTTTTTAATAACTATCTCTATTATTTATTTAATATAGTATTCTATGCTTTTTTTCTTGTTTGTATTGTTTTATTCTTATGCATAATCAAAATCTTCCTACAAATTCCCTTTATTGAATCTTTGATTTAATAGATATGATAAATACAAGTAAAGTATAATATATATATATATATATACTGTATATAGTGGAATTTCTCTGGAAAAAAGAAACAAATACATACATAAATAGAGACTCAGAATTTCATTATATATAGTCTACAATACAAGTAACGTGTAGAATTTTTTTTATTCCTTCCCTGTACTATATTCATTTCAAAGACTACAATTAGCCTACTTTACGTAGCAATTTCTTAATATTTTATATTGTATTCAATCTCCATTCATCCCTTTGGATTTCCCTCATATCTTCTCTTAAAGGCACTATGAAAGCAAATAATCCTTGACTGATTATTAGTCTCCTAGATCAACCTACACTCTCTAATATTTTCTTACACCCTCTTTGATTTGACCAAAAATAATCTCATTAAACGCAATCACATATTAGAACTTGAAAAAAGACGCGACCCGTCATGCAAATTTGATGACGTCACATACAAACCCTGGATATCTATGGGCTGACGTCACGCCTAGTTGTCATAGCAACGAAAATGACATGTAATATGACGTTGATATTCCGTCTCCGAAAACAAATGAAGGACTGAATATGCATTTCATTATATTCTTCTATTTTCAATTTCCTCTATTTAAAAAAATTGATGAATAAAAAAGGTAATAGATTTTTTTCCTTTTCTGGTCGCCTACTCTGTTGAAATCTTTGGTGCATTTCCATATTTTCTTTCATCATTATCAACGTCTACACCTAACTCGTCTTTATCTTCTTTCTCTTGTATTACTTTTCCCTTCCTTCCTACGTTTTACTATCTTTTCATTTCTAAAAATAGATCCAGTCCAGTATTTTGTTTTGTTTCAAGAGAGACAAAAAGCAATAATAAAATATAAAAACTAATAAATAATAACCAATATCTCACAAATGACAAATGACGTACAAAACACAAATAGATGAATGAATAAACAAAATTATGGCCAGCTATGCGATATAAATCTAGTCAACAATAAATAAATAAATAGTTATATAGTATATGCTTAGTACGTGAATGAGAAGGCGAGGAATGAGAGTGAGGAGGGATGGAGGCAGGAAGAATTAGTGTGGTGTATATACATATTTATTAACATGTGCATGCATGTAGTCAAATATAACCTTCTCAACAGTAAACAGTATCGAAACTATGTGTTATAACACTACATTTATATAAGCTTGTCTAATAAATATATAATATTGTATATTAATGGAATGTTTGCATACAGAAGCATATGAAAATAAAATATATAAAAAAAGTTAATACTATTATCAAAATGAGCTATGATTACTATTAATAACAGTAAGGCTTATAAACCTATATGTATACATCTATGCCGTAATACTGTATTTACTGAACTATGTCCAATTTCAATATTTTAATTTATTAATTTTTAATCGCTAAAATATTGATCAAACGATATTAAAATTATTTTAAAAGTGTCTCTTAGTCTGTTGAGTCTCGTTTTTCAATTTTTTCAAACCTACTCTCATGACCCGTTAAGGGGAAAAAGATTGTAAAAGAAAATTACAATTTTCCTCTTCTTTCTCCTATTTAAATTATTTAAAGATAAATAAAAAAAAGAAGAGGAAAAACCCAAGAAAAACATTTCTCAAAGTCAGAATGGCAATTTCAAAGTCTGACGTCAAAAGCGTGAAGAAACTACAAATAGGACTTTAAAGATTAATGAAAGTTCTTTGCTGTATTAAATTTGAATAAATGGAGGCGCTTTACTACTAAATGGACGGATTAATAATCGTTTAAGATAGAAAAGAAAACGTTTTGAAGAATACTAGCAGACTGAAAGACTTACCCAAGGGTTGTCATAGTGACAATAGTATACCAAAAGGCTTCGGGGATCGAAGTAAACTTCGTCTTAGGTACATTTTTCTCAGCGTAGAACATAACTGTGGCGAAAATGATGATGGCCATCGTAAGTGAAAACAGCAAAAAGCCCAACTCTGAGGCACAAGACTTAAGAGTATATCCCAAAATTCTCAATCCTTGTGAATGCCTTGAAAACTTGAAGATGCGAAACACTCGGAAAACCCTGAGTGTGACAAAGGCACCTGACAAATCCTTATTATCGGTTATGCCAAGGCCTATGTAGTAGGGTAGAATAGCAACAACGTCAATGATTGACATAACGCTTCTCATGAATCTGCAACGGTTTGGGGCCGCAAACAGTCTTAGAAGATACTCCGCCGTAAAGATCATAACGCTGGCGGTATCGAGACAGAAGAAGATTACTTCGTATCTTTCTCCGCAAGGTAATTTTCGTCTAGTTCCCGTCATTATACCACAAGGTATCGTTTCGACTACGTTAGCCATTACTGATACAGCAATGAAGACACCCGTAACGTAATAGAAGACGAGCGCTGAGGTGGATGTATGCGGGTTCTCGAAGGCCCTCCACATTTTCTCCCGAACACTTGTGCTTGGGTCGATATCACCCTTTTCGGAGGCTTTATCATCTAAAAGGCGTTCGGAATTTTCTCGTTTTCTGTCACGGTAGTCTTCGTAGCAGCAATCGCCGATTATGTCTGGAATAACACCAAAGAAGGCCAATTCGTCTTCGTACGCGCTAATACACTCGTGTTTTGGATAATGGAGTCTGCCTGTTAGGAGAAGAATCTTCGATATCTATTCCACTTCAAAGGAACAGTATACTGTATAAATCAGTAAAGCACATAGTCTATTTTCTCCTTTTAAAGTTTATTGAAGAAAGTAACTTTTACTTTTTTTTTCTTGTTTTAAATATTGGCTTAGGGAATAAAGCTTTAGCACAAATGCGATTTGTTTATACATGAATGCTTGGCATTTTGCCTGGAATCAATCGGAAATGGAATTTCCTATTTCATCAGGGGGCGTCACATTAGAATACGATAGAAAAATATTACCAGTTTACTCCGACGTATTTTCTCTAAAATAAGTTTTCAACTCAGCTATCTACCTTGTTCGATTCGCTGTTCAATTATTCATGTCTTTTATTCACCTAAACAGTATTTCAACTAATCTGTTAGCGCGTCTATTTCGCTTTCTATCTTTCAAGTTTAATATTATTTTTTCCCCTTTTCACCTTTACCTGACACTCTCTGTCTTCCACTGACATAACCAATAAACAACCGTGAAAATCACTTCCCTACTATTACTACTATTACTATCGGCTACTACCATGGCTACCGCCAGGTGACGCTCTTCGGTTGTATTCAATTAATATATGAATGAATCACGAATCGTTTGCCATTCTACACATATGCACTCTGACTTATATACGAATACCGACTGACAAACTGTCTTCAACAATGCCCTCTCTTACGTAATCATTTATAAATTGGACATATAAATAACCTCGATAACCTAATCGTTTCATTAACGAACCCGTTCGTTTGGCATTTAAGTTTGTCATCTATGCCTACACGCAAATTTTAATCTTCTTTTAGACTTTTTACTCTTATTGCTTTTAACGAATTTAGGCCAGCAAATTTTTAACGTTCTCTAATTATATTCACGTTCTATTTATTTATTAATCTATTTGAAGACTTTTTACCTACAACTAAAAAGAGAATCTTGTAAATAATCTAATATATCCCCTTTCCTTACCTATTTTACCTTTAGCCTTATTTTAGGAATAAGACGTCACAGCTTATTTTAAAATTATACGTAATTACCATTAGACTAACCTCGAAATATACTTAAACAATTTATCTACAAAATTTCGTTATTTATTGCTTTTTCTACTTTCTCTCATGCTGCCCTCTTCTCTTTTAAGCAAGTTAGTATTACATAGATATATCTATTAAATAGTGTTATTAGTTTCCAATGCGATATCCTTTTAACATATTTTACCGTATTAATGTTACAGATCATTAGAACTATTACTCAAATGTGATTCTCTCTCTCTCTCTCTCTCTCACATACACACACACACACACACACATACTCTCTATTCTCTCACCTCTCAAACAGATGTAAGAAGAAAGAGGTGGGGGAGGGAGTTGTTGGGAGGAGGATAAGAGGGGGAAAATAGTAAATAAAAACAGTGGATAGTCGAAGCAAAGAGAAAGAAAAGCAAAAAGAAAGAAAATCATAAGAAATAAGATTAAGAAAAGAGAATTATACAGTTTTATCCATTTTCTTGTTTACTCGAATATCACCCTTAAGGATTTGGATAAGAAAATTAAAAAAAAAATGTTAATTGAAGTAATTGTTTAATGAATGTATAGATAACAGAAAATAAATACAAAACCTGTGTAATTAAATTGTAAAACTATGTAACGTCTACTTATAAGCCTGCTCTTTGCGTATTAGCGTATAAATACTGTGTATAGGTATACTAAAGTATACGCCTGTAGTACATTTCCATATTGCACACGGAGAGAACTGATGCATAGTAATCGTGTCTTTCTCTTTCGTTCTTTTACTCTCATAAATGAAAAGTATGTAACAAATTAGTAAAGGTAGATAGAAAGTTAAATAATGCACACAACTGCCAAGTTATATGTGTGTAGTATATACAATTAATAATATATTGTTCAATTCTTCTTGTTTATATGTTTGTCTATTCAATTAAAAATTGTTTTTCGATACCTTACGACCATTTAAATAATCTATTTTTCACACTAAATACTGTAGTATTGATGATGAGCAAACACGCGTTTGTTTTCTTTTTAAGCATATAAATCTATTTGAATAATTTTCTTATAGGGTCATTAGGATAAATCGCAATGTTGATTAACCATCATTCGAATATATCATCTTAAAGATATGCATAGCACATAGAGTCTATGTACATAAATATCTCTATAAGCCGCATTTCCATTTTTATCAATACGCCTACAGTTTACTTGAATATATGTTACATGAATTAGTAAATATATACGTATTTATACACATATGATCCATCATATACTAGTTTATATATTATTTTCATTTTTCTCATAGGCAGATGATGCGATAGACAGTGTATGCACTACTAATACAGATAATACGTTTATGTAAAAGCAGAATATAATGTAATATACAATATACTGTATATATATATCTATTGATTATAATTAATTTAGACGAGTTATCATTTATTTTCTATATAAAACAAAGATATTTTTTCTCTATGCATCTGTACTAATTTGTTATACCTTTCTATTTAACTATCTATCTATCTATCTATCTATCTATCTTCATACTTATCTATCTATCTATCTCTTTGAATACATTTATACGAGGGCATGATATATATAAATATATAAATTGCATATATATATATTCTAAATATAATTTATATATTAAGTCTGCCCTCTCCTCTGTTTAGATGCTAACACTTGTTTCGTAAACATTCAAGTGCTTAGGCCTATTCGTGGAGAAAAATGAATTGTATAAATACTCCCAGAAAATAAAGGATAGAAATTAAGATGATACAGTCATATACACAATGAGAAAGGTGTAAAGGCTTGGGGAAGAGGAAAAAAGGCAAAATAGGTTTGGGAAATAGAAACTGAATGACTAAGGAGTAAAGGAGGGAAGAGAGACCGATAGAGAGCGATTGGAAGGGAGAGAAAGAAGGAAAAGGGAGGGATATAGTGAAAGAAAGATAGATATAGACAGATAAAGTGAACGAGAGACAGAAAGAGAGAGAGAGAGAGAGAGAGAAAAGAACAAATATACAAGAAAGTGTAGGATATTTCGTTCTTTTATAATACTTTATATTTATAACATTTCCGTGTAGTCAATCAATTGTATAAAGAATAAAAGACTAGTTGTTTTTATGCTTGTATTTTTGTCAAAGGATTCATCTACTGTTTTGCTCGAAAAGTATAGTGTTTACTGTTGTTCCTTCTATACTCCTTTTAATATAATATAATAAAGATAAAGCACCTACCAGTTCTGTAATAATTAAGTACATGTCTAAATATATCGGGATCCCTATCAAAAAAGTACTCCTTTGCCTCGTCATTATAGAAGAACTCCTTCTCATTAGATCCCAATAAAGTATCCGGGTATTTTTCAAGGGTATGCCTCCAAGTTTCAAAACATCTTCCACTTACATTTATTCTTAATTTTTCATCCGCCTCCTTTTCTTTCATACCTGAAACAGGAGGAGCAGGCATCGGGTTCTGGGCGATGGGAACCCATCCTATCGCAGCCGCCCTAGCAAAAGGAAGCCAGGCGGCCACAGATGCCATACTGTGTCTTGATTTTAATTCCCTTTAAAAAGCAAGAGAGATTTCCTTCTATGTAGAACAATGCTGCAACAACATCTTGCGCAGTACTGACTGCAATACTGCAAAAAACGCCATGCTAGGAAAGCGGGCCTACTAGCATTATGCAGTTTTCGATTGGGCGTTAGTGGCGCCGTCCAGTGGATGTATTGATCAGCCTACGATATATATACTGCAAAATGCTGTTGTATAGGCTTAATTTACTTTTCATAGTTTTTGTATAGTTCTATTTTCTGTACAGACTTGCAGATTTGTAGTTTAAAGAGCGTTAGTGAAGCGTTCAAACTCATAACATGTGCATTGAGAATGAATAGTATAGTTTTTTATCTTGATTAGACATTGAATTCAATTCGCTTTACTAGCAATAAATATGTTATATACAGTATATTTATCTTGTAATTCTTGTTATAAAACACACCAGTTTTCCCAATAAACCCCATCCAATACATAAAAATGCCTCTTATGCTTAATATTTGTTTAACATATTGTTTACAATACGTTTTACCTTACTAACGCTTCGATATATATATATATATATATAAATTTTTATATATAAATATATATATATAAGTATAAATATATATACTATATATAAAACGTTTATATATATACATATAAATACGGCATATATACACTTTCAGCTAAATTTTGTATGTTTTCTAATATAGAATATGTTATATAACGTATATATATATATATATATATATATATATATATATATATATATAATACAATTGAACGTTACATAGTGTATATAAAGAATGATATATAAATTTATATATACATTTATATACATATATATTTAATTTATGTAGTATATATAGTTTTGAAAAAAATAAGGATGGGTTATAACACATGCTCTTCCCAAACAACAACTTTTATAAAATTAAAGTTCATAAAACTATACTAAACGAATTTAATTGAGTACGCACCTTTTTTCATATATAAAATATATTCAGTAAAAAATAATTAAATAGCTTACGTTATACAATTTATAAATACTGTGTAGACTGAATGTAGATACAAATACAGTTTTATGAATATTTATTGTTATAAGTATTATATATATACGGTATATACTGTATGTTATGCTATGAAAAGAAAAAGTGTCTATGTGTAGATGTGTTGTGTGCCGATAAGTGCTGAAGTAACTTTAGATTTATTAAAATTTCTCTACTTGATATATATTGTTTTGCTATTTTAGACGCACATTTGTACTAATTTCATCTTTCAGTATTTCCTTACCACTATAAAAACTATCACAGTTACTACTATTACATTAATAACCACTTAAAAACTACCAATACAAGGATTGCTATTATTACTTTTTATGCCAAGCAATAAAATGACTACAAATTTATATATATATATATATATATATATATATATATATATATATATATACTGTATATATATATATATTAGTATATAAAGTATATATATATATCTTTCTCTCTTCTGTTGACAAACAGCTAGTAGTACTATTACTATCACTATTAGCAATACTATCAACTCTAAATCGAACTTTTACATCTATTGGGTGTATAGGATATAGGATATAGGTCGGTATGCTGTCTACTATACATACGAATAATAGTATATGGTATTTACTATATAAGTATATAAAGTATTTAATGTACAAGATACTGTATATTTGCTTTCGTGAATATTGAACGAGCCAATCAAAATTCAATAAAAATGCAACAATCTATTATTGGATTTATTGGCAGGGTTGGTAAGGTTGAAATAGCGTTAAAAATAGGATAGAGATACTATATTGTGTTTTCCTTTCTCAACAACATAGTAGTAAAATAATAAGAACGAAGGAATAACTTGATAGAAGAAAAGGATAAAAAGTTATTTAAGGAAGAAATTTGAAGAGTGACAGTAATACACTCTAACGAACAAAGGTGACTGTTGTGTAAATATTAATTATAATAAATTTGAAATTAATAATTATTTAAATAACGTTAAGTACATAACGCTGACATTCTATTTACTGATAATTAAATATTCCTAGACTTTATCTTAATTTAATTATCAAAATTGGATTGCATAAAATTTTCATAGGAAGATATTTATATTTAGAAATGTTGAAATTTGAACTACCCTGTCAATCTCTTCTGCACTGCTTAATCGGACGACTTCGTTCGACAGCGTTTCCAGATCCTGTCCGAACAAACAAATTTTCGCCCTTATATTGACTCAGACCCGCGCCCGACGGAAATTACCTTCTGCAAATGCATATTCTTCGTCAACGTCTCCTCTAGCATCAACTGCAATTTTTTTATTGACTTCACGCGAACCTGGCCCCTCATCCTTCACTGGGTCGACGACTTTGCGCATCAGACCGGAAACAACGCCCTGACTGGACTTTTGTCCATAGATAGACAGTTCTCCAACTCTCCCCCTATGCTTTCGTTATCACTATTGGTAAATAAAAAATTCTTTTGTAAGAATTTATAAGCCATTTTTCTCTAAATCAATTTCATGGTTAAAACTAGAGATAAGCCAGAAAAAAGCTATATATACGTTTATATATATATATATATATATAGCATTGTTTATATAATATAAGTTATTTTTTCTTTTCGCTTTTCCATCACTTCGATTTTCTCACTTGTTTTTATTATTATTATCATTCCTTTCCCTTTTTCCTAACAGCATAATATAAATATAGAGGCTTCTCGTCTAACATTTCAAACAATTAAACACATAAATTCTTTCACATATACTATCTACACCATATAATATAGTAATATAGAATATAAATAAGTTCGATATATTAATAATAGTATATACTGTATATACAGTATATATATATATTTGCTGTGTAATATATGTTTATTCGTATATTTCTTTAATTTATTCTATTATTAAATTGTTAAAATCAATTCGAAACATATGAAAGAGAAGCTAAAGAAAAACGACTATATTATACACAAAACTAAGACAAAAGTTAATTTAAAGAACAAATTCTCGGGGAAAGCGCGTTAAGGCAAGCATAAGGAGATCAGGAGAGTTTGGATTGATCAACCTCCCCATCATTTCCTTTTTTGTCCTCTTTATGGATTGACTGATTGCCTAACTGGCGAAAGAAACTTTACAGAATACCGTGCAGTATATCACTGCAATTTGACTTTATCACTTAATTTACGTAATCTTATTGGCATAAGATCAATTAACAACTATTATCGGTAATTTAATTCTTTGTCGGGATGCTTGATTATTTAGTGTATATAATTTACAGTCTTTGTAGAGTAATTATTTGCACGAGCTCTCTAAAAAGAGAAGAATTACCATAAGTTAGAGCATTTGAAGGACATTTATCCGTCCAAAGAATGACAACTAAGTAGGAGTGAAACAAATATTTGGCTTTGTCTGGTTTTCTCTGTCTCTCCCGCTAACTTATTCTTTCTCTCTCTATCTATCTATCTATCTATCTCTATCCATCATATATTGTTAAAAAATAAAAACAAAGTAAAAACAATTTTTCAACCATATTGCATTTATCGACAATCTCTTTTTTTTCTCTCCTCATTTTACACATGTACGCATACACGTACACATACAAATGCAAACACACTTACGCATTGACATATTATAATGTATTATATATAATAAATTGAAAAATAGGCTTGAAACATTACATGCAAAATTTGAAGAATGAATTGAAAAAAACGCGGGAAAAGTGAGTAAATAATAAAACTATCGTAATAAGAATTAATTTATCAAGTATTAGCTGATAATTTTTTATTCTTTTTCTATTAATTCATTATTAATTATTGTTATTAGAGCAAATTTTTTCATTTTAATTAGCTTACGACTAAAATTACCACTAAAACAAGAGGGTAACATGAATGAATGAATGAATGAATGAATAAATAAATAAATGAATGAATGAATGAACTCTTTTACCTTCTAACAAAATACTGTCCTTTTTATATACACAGAAAACAAGAGTATCGGAAAAGGATCCAATAATCAATAGCCCTACTATTACTCAACCTGGAAATATTAATAGGCCTAGTAGATTGCTCAGGCATTTAGAGTGATCAATAAGTGATTGTTTCCTGAGTAAATTTCTCTGCAATTTCAGAATTACTGAAAAATCCAGAACAGACGCTTTCGGTAATGAATGAATTCTGCTCTTCGTCGATCTTCCCTTTTATAAACGCAATTATATTAAGTATATACAACGAATGAAGCCCTCAATAAGGAACAAGAGCCGGTAGACTTGTATTAGTATTATTCTGAATGTGGTAAACATACTGTATTATCAAGTTAAGAAGATGGTATTCTGTATTACTACAATTAGATGCTTCTTATACAGCTAATTGTTCTAAATAGACAGTAGCCGCTTTCCAGTCTTTGATAAAACATACAACTCTTATAAAGGTCGCCCAAAGATATTTACAGAAAGGTAGTAATAATTAATTAGCTATATTGTTAAAGTTTCATTTTGACAATCAATAATTAACGTTCTAACTTACAATGGAGTCATACCAAACATTTTATATGCACCGTATTACCTACTTACCGCTCCTCTCTCTGCCTCTCTTCTGCTCTCTCGTCGTCTCTGAAAAAGGATGAAAACGATACAAATTTCGTATTCATTATGCGATTTTATTAATTGAAGCAGAAAGTTCTAAACTTGTATTAACGTTATGAAATAGCATAAAAACTAGACCGTCTATCTCATAATTAATATGCAAAAAGGTGAATTACACTTTGTTCTTGGAGATTATTTCTTTACCATTACTATTATTCATTTAAACTGATTACAAATGGGTTATTATGCCTGAATAGTCAATAATCAGTTAATAAACCGTCAAATGCAACAAATTTCGATAGGTTGTAGGAGGAATAGAGTAAAAGCTTCTATCAATCCTGTAACGTTGCGAATTCCCAAGAGTTCTTAAACATAAATGAGAAGGACTGAGGCTAATATCACTCAAGCTAATTAAAGGAAGCAGAAATGGTCTATATGGCGTTCATAGTATATTTTCCTCTACAATCACGACACTTTTTTTATCAAATTTCTTATCCTTTTTTTAATACAAAAACTGCAAAATTTGTATTGAAGAGAGAGAAGAAGAATCAATTTA